ACAAATATATATATATATATATATATATATATATATATATATATATATATATATATATATATATATATATATATATATATATATATACGGTGTTATATATATATATATATTATATATTATATATATATATATATATATATATATATATATATATTATATATTTAATATTTTTTTTTTCTCACATTCAGTAGCTTTAGGGCAGGGAGTGTTTAAAATTTCACTGAAATCGGAGTTTGTGCAATTGGGAGCAATTTGTAAATATCAAAAATCTCCAAAACTGTGAGCATTTTGTCTGCTCAGAGACAGAAACCTGTGAGAAAAATCTTGACAACCTTTGATGTCCCACCCCTTGAGATAACGCGTATCAAATTTTAGTTCCTTAGGAAGAGTGCGTAGAAGTATGAAAAAAAAAAAAAAAAAAAAGCTGTCTAATGCTTAGCAAACTTTAAACCAATATTACTGACCCTTGGTGCTGCGGACGCCATTGGTGTAATAATATGTTTTTCCTTATCTTGTCATATCTGTGTCACATTTCATGATTCTACTTGCAAATTTTTTTGCACTCATTCGTATACCCTAATACATTTTTGAGTTGTTTGGGGGCGCTGACGAGCCATTTTATTAATTTTTGGACAAGACGAGTTACAACACGTCATTTCACTTTCCGGCCACTAGTAGCATAGCTTTGCTAATAGGCTAATACTAATACTAATAGGCCCTTCGCCAGCTATTGGTGCTAGGGCTTAACAAGTCCATAGACCATGGTAGTTTTAATTATGCATATACATTTTGTTTTACATAATAAACAACACACAAACACATACAATTTAAGAAACCAAAAAACAAAACAAAAAGTCCCTGTATATAGAGTAGCAAATAGCTGATGCGTGTATTTGTGTTATCATGTTGGGGCTCATTCTTCACTATCAGGTCCTCCCAGTGACCTATGAGCTGCTTTATTATCAGGACCCCTGCACAGTCCCCTTATGCACCAGTCAGCGCGTCTGCCCTTCTTCTATATCCTCTACTACTTCCTCAGATGGGGAGAGGGGAGGGGGATGAGAGGCCTGGATGGACGGGAAGATGAGAGACAGCAGGAACAGGACACAACAATGGCTGGAAGTGACTTCAGATCAATACAGATAAGACACAAATGCAACAAACATCCCACTGAAGAGATAAACAGGGAACCGAGTGTGTGCTGCTAAAATATTAAGTTGATTAATTGAAAAATAAACAAACATTAAAAAAAAAAAAACCTTTTCATTGTGGTATACATAATCTGGACTTGTCAAAAGACATGTAAAAAAAACAAACATTTATTACCTTTTTATGGTGCTCCATCATCATAGCTTACTCAAAGTATTTCCGTTGACCTTGCAGACTTGAGTGCTCTGAACATTTCATTTTACACTTATCTTTACCTATAGAGTCTAGACGGGATTTACATGTAGGGTTGAAAGATGTATATAGCAAATTTTGCAATACTAACATTGCATGTAACAAATATTAGTTAGTAAGCTGTTAGTTGAAGGTAAAAGGCCCATATTACTCTATTTTGTGATCTATGTTATAATGTTGTTTCCTCATCACAAACCTGGAGTTGTGTTTTGTTTCGTTTACAATTGTTTAACATGCAAACCCTTTATATTTAGGCTGAGCTCTTCTCTCAAATGGGAAAAGCTCTGTTCCACCTTGTGATGTTATGTGGTAATACAAGAAGTGTCCCACTGTGTTATTAAACTCCATACACTGATCTAAAGGTAAAAGGAGCTGTTAGAAACTGTTATATGACATCACAAGGTCGAACAGAGCATTTTGAACTTTGGAGATGTAGACAGACTAATAATAAAGAATTACTCAAACATGTGTAAATGAAACAAAACACAACTCTAGGTATGTTTTTGAGGATTTGATATTATAAAAAGATCACTGGAATGCATTTTGTGTAATAGGACCTTTAATACTAAATACCCCCAAAAGCATATGTCTACTTTTATTAAAGCCATGAAAACAATAACATTACTTGAAACTGCTGCTAATAGTGAATTTTACCATGTCTTAGCAGGGCAACATTTCATTGGCATGTTGAAAGCAGGAAGGAAGGGGTCACCGTTGTGGCAATTACAAGGTTTCTCAACAGTTCAGAGGTCATGCTCAGGTCTCTAAAACCTAATCTGGTGCCAGTATATCATGTAACCAGCTACACCTCTAAACTTCAAACAGTATACAACTTAAGGGAACTGACCAGCTGCATATTGAATGTAGATATTGTACTTCAGGGCTATTTACACCTTTACATTTACTGAGGAAAATTGTGTGAAGCCTATGGCAGGTTGGACTTCTCATTTTACTAAAACACAGTTTTGCAAAGCATTCACACTAATTGTCCCAATTCTGCCATGTTTTAGGTTTAAAATTTTACTTTTGCCAGCAAAACTCCTCTAAGGTACACAGAAATGATCATTTATCAAATACAAATATAAGAAAAAACACCTTTATTTTGTTAGAATCATCTTTAAAGTGTCAGAAAAAATTGTTTTTTACTTTTAGATAGAATTCTCCCTAGTGTGATGCATCAGTATGTTTTGAACTCTCCACTTCCAACATATATTTTTCTTTGTAAATTGCTTCTTGATTTGTGTAAAACTGTAATGTATATTTTCAATAGCTATAACCCCACCATGTTAAATCAAAATTAGAGAATTATAAAAATCTGTCATATGCATTTTAACAGTAATAAGGGTAAATCAGCTATTATATTGCTGGTTAAGTGCCATAGGTCATGACAAGGGATGTCCGGGCCTATGAACCCAAACCACAGCCTGTTGTTCGTGTGTAATGGGTCTGAGGTCATAAGTGCTTCATGCAGCTACTGTTGTGGAGGTGAAGAAAGCCACACACTTCCTGTGCACTGTCCACTCCATCAGCATGTGTGAACCCTGCACAGTCCACTCCACCACTGCTTCCTGTTCCACACGTGCAGCCCCCTTCAGCTTCTTCAGCACACACAGATACCAGGTCTCATGCAACTGAAGTTGGAGCATCATCAAGCAAGACTGGCCCCAAAAGAGAACATCCAGGCCCATTCATGAGGGAGAAAGGGTGTACCCAGCAACAGTATTCATTATTGCTTATGGCATATGACTGAATGAAGTAAAAATGCCCTTAACCTGAAGGCTTTTTATCCCATGCTTTGGATTGAGGGTGAAAGGCAAAGGTATTTCACCTAATTTTCTGGCCCTGTGCATATCATACCACTAATTTTAACACAGTTTGGGGCTGCACAAATATCTAGCTATCTGTTTCAATAATGATAATAATATAACAACAGCTACTATATTCTTTTTTTTTTTTGAGAAAAATAAAATACAAAAGGCTTTATTAATACTGCTCTACTAAATAGACCAGCAAGGTCCAAACCGGACTGAAACCAGGACTAAACCAGTACAGAAGGGAAAACTGTAGTTTAACTTTTGAAAGATGGGCTGTGGGCTGTATTGGATAGTTTGGAGGGCCTAATTTGAATAATCTTGGTGTGAGGGGTGCCAGGCAGATAAAGGTGCAGACCATTCTGTCCAGTACCAAAAAGCTTAAAAGAGGCTTTACATCCCAGACTCTAATCTTCTAGACTCCTCACACATATGGTCAAATTAGCTCATCCACTGTTCTGTATGAGCCACACTGAATGATCAGAGAGTTAGTTCACATACACAAGATATGAGAGGGGGATATAAGCAGAGGTGTGGGGCAATTAACACGCTCTTTTTATATGGAGGGCAATCTATTCTCTGTAGGCAAAGTAAAGTTTGATGCTTGATGGGTGTTTTAGACTCACCGCATCCTAAAATACAATAAGAAACTGAACATCATGATTGACTTCACTGGTTTCACTAAGGCAGTAGCATTTGAGCAAAAATACATCTAATGACAGTTGGGAAGAGCCCCTCCAGTATAAAAGAGATAGGTGTCTGTTTTATCAGGAATAGCTAACTTTTGCAATTGTGTTTTCATCTTTCATTATTTTTGGGTAGTCAAATTCCCCACAATTGTAGCATTTATTTTTTGTGCACATCAGCATATAGGCAAGAAAATCATAGCGTCCTAACCTATATTATACATATGGCTTTAGACTGACATGGAGTTTGTTGTGCTGCGTCTGATCTCCTCTCTGTCACAGATTATCCTTAAATCAGCCTTCTATTTCACCCTGTTATGGAGAGAGACAGACAGGTGGGCCCACCAGGGCTTGATGTGTTTTGGGGGAGCACGGAGGGTGTGGTCAGCAGCCGTGAGACAGCATTGTTTTCAGATAGAGACTCCAAATACTAGGCTGCATACGAGACAATTATGAGAAATATTCCCAATGGAGAGGCTTTATATTGTCATTACAACACCCTAACAATAGGAAGCTTTAACCATTTCCCAGTTGATTTAGAATATGCATTTAGTGAGAGGGCAAGAGTCAGTGATGGATGTAAATGAAAGACTCTGTGTTTTAGATTAGATTACAGATTAAGTTATTTTTGTTCTTTGGGTATAAATCACTGCAAGTCACAATGGTTTAAATCCAGGCTCAAAATCTATCTATTCACATGTGTGTCTGTGTGTGTGTGTGGGTATATAATAATATATATATATATATATATATATATATATATATATATATATATATATAATATATAAATTTTGTTCAAAAATACACAACCCTGACTGAGAGAGCCTGATTGAAAACATAAGTCATTCTAATAGCTGTGCAACCAAAAGCAAGCAGAGGCAGGACTATTTGAGGTCCTCTGAACGATGCTGTGGGAATTTGTCCCATTTGAGATGCAAATGTAGCCCAGAGCTGAAAGAGCAGAAGGAACAGGTGTCAGAGGAAGTGTGTTGCTTGTGAGGGTGGGAGGCCACAACACAGGCTGTATTCAGAGCTGCCCCTTCAGTCTGTGGGTCTTCTCCACAAACAAAATGTGTCTAGTTATAATAAAAATAAGTCAAAATGTGATTGGATTCAGATTTATTGTTTACACAATTTAATACAAAAGAGCTGGTGATTGTCTTTCTAATAAAATAAAATAATTCAACAATCAGGCGCTTTGAGCTTCACCATCTTAAGTGAAAGTGAAAGTGCTTTCTGTATGGAAAGAATGAACCCGTAAAAATAAATGTATAAAAACATCAAAACATGTCTCATTACAAATGGAGATCAATTGTTCACTTAAGAAAACAAAACTATATACTTAAAATCCTTCAGTATTTATGGCTGCCTTATGTGAGGCTACACTACACTTGTTGAGTAATGATGGAATAAATCCTGTCAATAATGCAGGTATTGGTGATTTGGCAATATAATAAAATATATCTAACTTCAAATAAAATTGCTCATTAAAAAAAATCTGTTCTTCAATCAGACAGCAAAGCAGCATACAAGCAATTTGTAGTGTCCTTCATACAAATCATTATTCACACTCTCTAACATAAGAACCTGACATATCTGGAGAGGTGTCTTTGGAATCCGTTATCGCTGTGGTACGTTTTGGAGTGTACAGAGCAAATAATAATGCCATGGCGCCCTCTTGTGCCCAACTGCTATAAAAGACTCCATCTCTCCTTTCATATTTGTCAAGCGATTTCAAGAAAACTGGATCTATCCCAGCACTGACAATGTAGTAATTAGTGGGCAAAGTAAACTCCCTTATCAATAAGACTTCATATGATGAAAAATGGTATTCATTGTGCTTTTGTGCTGTCCCGATGAAGCAAAATTTAAACAAAGCTTTTTTCTCCCTGATAACGGTGTGAACATTTGTTTTTAATGTTCACCTAAATGTGACTTAGTATCTTTAGAATCAACTAAATTTACATTTGATAAATATCCTATGATGAAAAATAATATATTTGATTTTATGGATTTTCTTTCAGAAAATGCCCCATATGAAAAAATAATTACAAAGATAGAAAATAGAGCAGTATCAAAGTAACATCCCAGTCCTCAGTGCTGCATAGTAATGTTTATGTAGGCCATTGGCTAGTGTAATTCCACTTCAAAGAATAGCGCCTTCATATATGTTACTAGGAAGTGGGCTTTAGTATGTAAACTAGCGCTCTGCTGCTACAGGTAGGTGTCATGCTCTGCGCTGCTGAGGCTCTCGTTGGAACCCTGCTCTGTGTGAGCACTGAGCAGAGGTGAGGGCTCTTTGGAAGGAATGTGCGGGCTAACGCCACCCTCTTCAAACATGTTTTTTTCTTCTATTTTTTCTTTATCCTTTTTGGATTTTCTATTTGCATCAGCAGGAACAGTGAAGAGCGGAGATTCCACAATGATGGTGGGTCTCTCCTTCAGGTCCTGTCTGCTGTGAGGCTCTGCGGCAATAACTGCTCTGGCCCCGTGCATTCTGGGAGGAGACTTACAATGCAGCTCTCCACGAGACTCCTTCCACAGGCGCAGCTGAGATCGGTGCTCCTTTTCAATGTCCTTCTCGGACACCGACAGCTCTAAAATCTACAGAACAGAAGTGGCATCAGTGACCTACCGACCTCAGATTCATTAACTGATTAAAAGACTTCTGTTCAGATGACTAAGTTAATGTTTCATCATTTTCCATCATGAGAAAACTAAAGTTGAGACCATCCTTACCTCATGCACCAGGAAACCTTCTTGCATGTACTGTGGTGGTATTGCTTTGAGCAGTTCCATAGTTTCATAAAGGCCAGGACAGCTTCTCAGTTTTTCTTGAGATCCCAAAGTGCATTTTAAAAGAACCAAGCCAACTCGGAACAAGATTTTCACTCCTGCAAACAAAACAGCCGTTTTATTTCAAATATTTGTTGTGGAATTAGAAGAGCGGTAAGTAATATGTTGTTGACTTGTATGTGAAGCACTTTGGTCAACTGAAGTTGTTGTGTTTTTGATGTGCTATATAAATAAACTTGAATTGAACTGAATTGAAGTGTATCTACTTGTGCCTACTGTTGCCAATAACCTCACCTTCACAGAGAAACATGTCCCAGACCCTGAGCACAGAGGCCCAGGGCAGAGTCCTGGAGAAAGCACACATGAACCACTCTGTCATGTACAAAATAGGCCCCAGTTTCTGATTCTCCAGGTGGCGGTAAACTACAGGGCTCACCTTTTTCAGTAGAGCATGGAGGATTTCTCCATCCAGCTGGATGGCCTCCTTGAAAAGTCAAAACAAGCAGCTGTCAGAGACATGAGGGAGTGCATTCACATTTTAGATTAACTCATCAGATTTGTTATCATCATCTGATATAATATAACTTATTTGCTAACACAATGGCAGGAGAATTCTGGCAATGATGCTCAAGTCCTTAAGTGTTTTTCAAAATAACACTACAGAGTAAATCCATCCGTCCATCAATTCTTTGCATAAACATTTAAGAAAAAAAATTATAACTGCAGTGTGGTATTCATTCATTCACCTAATTCAAGCCTGACTGAAAATTAGTATACATATTTTTTTTTAAATGCACATTAAAACTGGTTTTAGGGAAGCATTTGAAAAAACACAAAAACTTTTCAGCCACTTATTTTATTTTGGTTGTTTTGTTGAATTTTGTTGAAATGTTGTTCCTTTAGCTATAATATTCTAGCCTGATTCATCAGCTAGTTTCCCTTCGTGGAAATCGTTTGACCTCACAGCATTAGAATTCGTTCATGCAACGGTAGGCAGGTACTTTTTGTATTCAACCAATCACTGCTATTTGGTCGTGACGTATGTAATGCGCCGCTAACATGGCTAACTGGTATATTAAACTTTTCCCAAATCCCATAGGAAGAAGGGCAATAATGTCTTTCCTCTTGATAAAATTCACCAAACATTCTCTTTGTTTGGGCTTTAAATCCTCAATCTCGGGAACAATTGCCAACACAGAATGTATGGCTCTTGGCAGATTGGCTGGTGCCCAGACTTGCATTTCTGGCGTTCTTGCAAACTGTCTAGTAGTGTATTTTCTGATTCCTGACCTAGTCGCTGAAGAGAAATGAAATTGAGCGGAGGCACTAGGTGGTACCAGCCTGGCTAATAATATTCCATATTACAGCATGAAACTTATCTATCTCCTTAGAGAATGTTTCAAAGTATGGCTTTAACTCTATTTCCATGGAATCATGCAGATGCCAAATCCAGAAAGTTAATACTGTGCATACAAGCATATGATTAATACCAGTTTTTAAATACAAACTTACCAGGCCTTTGCTGTAATAACCAGGAAGGTATTTCTCACAAATTTGAACAAGGACCCAAAATGCATCCTAAACAGAAAAAAAGAAAACAAAAATGGTTACGATGCAACTAAAACAAAACATTTTGCTGAAAATGCCACTAAAATTACCTCTGCTGGCATATGCATCAGAAGAACAGCTGCAATAGGAGCCTGAGCCTGACAGTACCTCGTCAGGACGATGCAGCGTATAGGCCTTCAACACACGAAACAAGTCCTTCTGCCTACAAATGACAGAAATTAAGGTAACACAATAGAAATCTAGAGTATTTTGTTAGAACAAGAATCATACCCATGACCACCCCGAGCTGAAAACATCTCATGGAAAGGAAATTGTCGATGAAGGTCTCTCTCAATGATGTCAACCCATTTAGGATCGCCAGGCTGGTCATCTAGTTCCTGCAAGATAATGTTGGAAACTAATCATCTATCGAGACCATGCAAGGCAAAGTCATCTTAAACTAACCTGAAATTTGCCTTTGTTTTGCTCCCTTTTGACTTTGCCCCCAGTGAGGTAAAGCCAAGCTCGACCACGGAGTGATGGAGGAATTCCCTTCTGGCATCTTTCCTTTATCTTAAGTGCAACATTATTTATTTAAAAAATATGAACATGATATATCTAAAGCTAAGACCTACCTTTTTGTGCTTTTTGGCCATCCACTTGTCCCAACTGTTGAGCATTTCGAGCCATTTTGCCTCTCGCTGTCTCAGCACTTCAATGGGAACCTCTTCAACGCTATCAAGAGACACTTAGATAAATAACTCATGTAAATCACTTAATTTTAAGTCACACAGGATTTCTATTTTCAACAAGGTGATCTTAAAACAAAAACACTGTTTACACCCTTATATCTTGGAGGTGACATTCCCTTTTCCTGGAAAGCAATCATCCAAGCAAATCATGAAACTCTTGCCATCAGCAGTAAAGCTCAAGGAAAACAGGAAGTAGTGCAGATGAGAGCTTAACTTTATTTCCCAATAGTAGTTACAACCTCCTACACAAAACATGATACTATGAATTCTATAAAGGTCAACACTTAAAGAACACCATGCATATGCAAACAGGAAAACATATCTTTCATGATCACATTTGACAATGAATGTGGCAGTAACTACTCTCTGTATATCTATTTGCCTAATGAAAGAAGGAAGCTGACTTGGTACGTTTAGTCAGAAGTATGATAAGATCTTATTCTAGATGTGTGCATTTAATGTACTTACGTTTCTGCTGAATACTGCTGGGCACCCCCGGTGAAGCCGTATCGGTCCACTTGTTTCTCCTCAAAGAAGGCATTGCCATTTACCTCTGGTTCCGATCCATGTTTATTACTTTTACCATAGTCTTTCAGCTCTTTACTTTCCCGCATATCCAGTCCATTTCCCTGCTCAGTTTTGGCCATTTAAACAACATTTACCTTAAAGGAAGCCGTGAGTCTGGTGCGGCTGCTCACATACCTTATCCCAATTAATTGGGATAACTCGCTAAGCTGCTTCCTTTGAAGAAGCAAGTCAGCTACTATCACCACAATTAGCACGGCTGCTAGGAGGACCTGCACCGTAAAGCTAAACCAAAGTAAAACTCAGAGAAGATAGCTTCATTTTAAACCTGAATCACATCATTTTAAGTGACCTGAGGGTTTTATAACCCGTTACGATTCAAACTAACACAATAAAGCGTATTTATAAACTAAAAAACAAAACAGCATACCATCTTCATGCTAACTCGGAAGCTAGCTGAGTTTCGCTCAGCTGTCAGCTGACACAGGCCGCTGTCAGCCAGGATGTGTGATAGCTGAGGCGGGCTGGAGGCTAAAAGCAGACTATAGCTGAAGGGGCAGATCCACTGACGGTTTATCATATCAGGGGCAGGTACAAACAAAACACTGCACCCAGGGGCTCTCTGCCGACACCTACTGCTCAAAGAAAAAAAACAAAAAACTTAAAACATTAAACCACCAAAGATGAAAGAGATTTGCAGATATAAATATTGAGCAAAGGGATTGACAATGCCCCCCCCCCCCCCCCCCCAAAAAAAACAAACAAACAATAATTATTATAAATACTAGACTCTTTATTTAAATATTGTACATTTTTATAACCTATTTACATAAATTAGACCTGCATTGTTACACTCTAAACATGTGCATCTTTCTCACAGACAGACATTTTTGTAGTGAACAATCATACCAAGCAGACAACAGAAGCACCGTTTTTAAAATCCGAGATGAGCAGGCTTTGTTTACATTGAACATTGGGCAACATTAGCAACAGACAAAAGATTGCAATGACAGGAAAGGCCTTGATTACAGGTTTAGCTATTAAGGCTGAAACTGTGCTCATCCCACAACCAAATAAGTTCAAGCAATTACACCTTTGACTTTTTCTTATAGCCAATATGCATACTATTATTATTCTTCCCACTACACTTGAACTTAACACTGTAACTTTTTTTTTTTTAACTTTTGGAAATTTAACCACCGCTACAAAGGATGCCAGACAAGATGGATAACTTAAGTGTGTAATAGAAAACAAAGTGGCCAAGACTGAATAGAACTGTGCCATAGAAACACACACTATAAAGGTGATTTGTTTACAAAATTGATTGTAGGGTTAGTTACAGAAGAATCACAATTTTGCAATTCAGCTGTTAACAAGTTGTCAGTGATATATGAATGAAAAAAACTAAACAGTGACACTATGAAAGACAAACACCAAGTCATCTATACAGCTGGGCAAACATAGCAATGCCCTGATAGAAAATATGAATATGGCTTTCCTTCTTTGGTTATAAACCTGTACACTGTATTAACCATCATCTTTTCACAGTGTAGTTTTCTGATCTCATACAGCTAAAAATCAAAACAAAATTGTTGGCCATACATTTACAGTGATGGCGTTTGAAACATTTACAGATGTACGCAAACCAGGTCTTTGGTGCTTCACTTAAGAGTAAATACTCTTTAGGTTAGTTTTCAAATGCCAATAACAGTATTCTTAACATACATGATGGGATCCAGCACCCAAATTTACAAGCACTCGTTAGAATCATGTGACCATGTCCATCTGAATCAAGTCCTTAACAGAAAGAACAAAAATAAACAGCACGCCATGTAAAGAATGAGGGACTAAAATATATATATATATATATATATATATATATATATATATATATATATATATATATATATATATATATATATATATATATATATATATATATATATATATATATATATATATATATACACACTCACACAATACACAACAGATTAAGATAGTCGGAATCATCCATAATGCCATTTAACACATCAAGCTCTTTTAAGGTAACAATATTCTTTACAAAAATACATCCTTTTTCTGTAAAATTTATGCCTGACCTATCATTGCAATTGTAAGCTTTCACAGATGCCAGCCATAGCTCTGAAAGGATAAAAATTAAATATGAAAGACATTCAAATGACTCCGTACACCTTCCAACACAAACACAAATCCCCCCCCCCACACACACACACAAAATGCAAGCAAGAACAAGACTTATAAGGTTTTCATTTCTGTGAATGAAAGACTGGAATTGATAATGCTCACTAAACTACACAGGAAATGTTGCATGAATGAACTCTTGTGTTCATCCATCATAATAGTAACATTTGCTAAATAAGCAAATCAACAAAATATTTACAACATACCAGGAGGTGTGCACTGACATATCCATCAGCTGAATGACAAAAACCTGATTTAGCTTCACATAAAGGCTCACACTTTCAAAAATTGTACTCTTAATCATAAGATGTGTGTAAAATCACATCTTAATCATAAGGGTAAAATCCTAATCTTACTCTGTCAATTCACACATTCCACCCCCCAAAGTTTGGGTTCCTAAACTTTTCAGTCCAGGACCCTCAAAACTACTATGCAATCAGTCTGGGGCCACTTCTGCTAAATTTTATTACTGTCTGATCATTTCAGTTCATGATACATAAAAAAAATAATTTTAATTATTGTGTTATTTGGTCCAATTTTTGAAAGTATTCAGTTAACCATAAAAAAAAAATCAACAAAGTCATCACACAATCCACAGCTAATACCTGGGGGGGCCTGGACTTATCTTGTGGAACCACCTTTTACTCTATACATTATCCTTAATCACATGTGCATAAACTTAAATTAGACATTTTGAGGTCCAATTACTCTCAAAGCCCAAACTGGCTTATTGTTCTCATAAGAGCCCAGTATAGCTGCAGGAGGCCTCAATCTCATCTCATCTAGTCATACCACCTACCCTTCTGCATCATGATCAACATGAAACACCATGAAAGTCCATTCACCTTAAAATAAAATAATGGAAGAAAAAATATTTGTGACTGTGAGCCTCCAGAAAAAGGAGTGTGTAATTTTGAAGGTGGACCTTGGCAGCCCATTGGATGCAGTGCTCTTTGGAAGGACTGGAAGACTCAGGCAGATGGGAAAACAAAGAAAAACATTTAGTCTGTATATTCAGCCACAATAGACAGCAGCACCGTGATGTCATCTGGCTTCCCTCCTGTACAACAGGACAAACAGAGAAAATATTATTAAACTTTTCAAATACATGTGAAAGAACATGTCAGATATAAATGCTGCTCTGTACAAACCTCTAACATTCAGACCATTGTCACAGGCAAACTGTGCAAAAGGAGACATGTAGTTGGGATCATAGGCAAGATCGTGAGCTTGCTTGGCGATACTCTGTGCCGTCTCCAAGACACTTTCATAGTTGGTCGTCTAAAATACAAATAAACAATCTTTTAATGTACAAAGGTGAGAATATGGGTTTATTAGGGATAATGTATAGGTCTTAAATGGTAAATGGTCACTAGGGATGGGCATTCGATGAAATTTTCTTAATCGATTGTCAGAAGAATTAACGATTGATTATAGATTAATCATTAACGTTTTTATATTAAAATGATCATCATTATTATTACTATGACGACGCTATGCACAGCAACCTACATTCGGTTTGTCGATTAAAATGAACGTAATCGATGAAATTCTTAATGATCAATTATCGATTAATAGACTAATCATGCCCATCCCTAATGGTCACATTTTTATATAGCGCTTTTCACCTTCAAGGCACTCAAAACACTTTATAACAAGGAACCACGTACCCATTCACACACCAGTATATGCAGAGACTGGGGGCAAGGTGGTTTAAGTGGCTTTCCCAAGGACACAACAACGGCTAGAATTACAGTGTGGATCAGTGGACCTGACCAGTGGATCTGTTTTAAGTTGAGAATGGGATTCGAACCACCAACCTTCGGATCAGTGGAAAAACACTCTACCAACCGAGCTACTGCATTCCCGTCTTAGCTTTATGTATCTAATATAGGCTATGTCCACATGACAACACTCTGGATTTTTTTTTTTGCGGTCTGAAAAAAATTTGCATCCACGTACATGTCAGATCAATAAATATTCATGTCCAGACGACAATGAGGCACTGAGTGAAAACGATGTCATGCATATGCCATGCCTGTATGTGGCGCTGATGATAATAATTTTTAATAATGCATATTCCATCAGTTTTTGTTTTTTTTTACTTTAAGGTAATTTTGCCAATTTTAGATGTATCCCACAAATACAGCCATTTTGTTTTGCAAAAGTTAAACATAATTTTCATTTTTAGTCATAAGATTTGGATGAGAATTATTAGAATAACTTGGTTTTAAAATCCAACAGTTTGATTATCTGTGCGTAATCTTTGTTGTTGATCCGTGTGCGTACTCTGCGTGGTGCGTGTTGTTAGCATTAGCGCGTGTCTCAGTTGCTGAGCAACGGGAGCGGCTCCCAGGTAGTAGTTAAGTACACTTCACTTACTCAAACTCATTCGCCAAACAATTTGATGCTATTAATTAAAAAAATAAAAAAATAAATAAAAATGCTACCTTTAGTTTCTTAAGCTCTTGAAGAATCATGTAGTCTGGCATGTTGTCAAAGAGGCCGTCTGTGGCAGTCAGGATTATGTCACCAAGCTGCACGTCGAAGGATGAGCTGTCTGCTGCTTCAGGACTAAACGGTAAACAGAATACAACACAGTCAATCACAGGAGAAAGAGGCAGGCTGCACTCAACCACCGGTGCTCAGAACCAGCAGGTCATCACAGCAGCCATTGCTAATCCTTCTCTAGTAACTCAGAAAAGCAGTCATTTCCAAATGGTTGTATATAACAAACCCAGGATGCCCATTTATGCAAATTGCTTAATTGAAATTAATTATCATGTAGCCATTTACTATACTGCTGGCCTTCACAGTGGGTTATGCAGCATTTATTTACAAGTCTAAAACAATAAACAATAAACAATAGATAATACACACAATAGACAATAGATAGTGTTTATAAACCTGGCTGGTACCAATTTATGAATTGGCTCTGATGCATTTTCTAGGGAAGTTAATGTTGTGTGCCATCACACATTGCCAACTATGAAAAATCAGGGCTGTCTTGGTGACTGACAAATGCCACATGCTTGACCACACAAGTCTAACACCAGAGTCTCATAAGAAATCATTACCGTGTGTAGTTGTAGTGTTTTGCGTGGTTTATTCATGTCACAAATAAAACCAAAATTATAATAAATGCTAACAGCCAACTACAACAAATGTTTAAATATAACATTACAGTCGAAATATTGTGGAAAAAATATTGCCATGAAAATATAGTAAGCAACAATTTGATTTTTGTCAATTTTTTTTAAATTTAACAAATCGCCTCAAATCTAACTTGAAAAGGTGAATTGAGCTGGAAGTTAGATATCGCCTCTTAGCACTCGTGGGGAAATATAACAAACAAAAGCAATAACCATTTGTCTGTGCAGCCTACAAAAAAAGTCACAATAAATTTTTTTTTATTTTGCAGCCTTGTTCAAATGCAGGGGATACCAGGGTTACCAGGCTGTGTGCGATGCACTTCTAGTGCCTCCTGAAAGGGTCAAAACTAACCTGTCACTCAGTACCACTCCTTCAGACCCTGGAGGAGCAATGGACAGCTGGAAGGGTGTGTTGAAATAATGTTGCTGCTCGTCAGAACGATGTACCACCTCTCCACCTCGCACAACCAAGAAGCCTGAGTCCCCAAGATTGCAAGTGTGTAGCCGGTGACTTCGCCGATCCAGAACCACAATACAAGCTGTGCTACTTCCTGCAAAAAACATGAGAGCATATTAAGCACAATCATTGGAACTTTCTACCATGTTATAACAATGATCACTCATCAAAAAACATGTCTGAATAGGTTTTAGATGCCATCAATGCATGTGTGATCTTACCCTTGCCCTATTCAAACCCCTCCTTATGGTTAGATTTATCCAATGCTGTACACGCAAGCCTACATCATCCCTGCTCCCACACAGCAATTTTCCATGAATATACAAAACAATACATCTTTACAAACCTGATGCAGTAGTTTAATTAGTGCAAGAAACTGTGACTGCAATGTGATAGCTCTGTGAAGGGCGAGTTACTTTAGAGCCAGAGTGAAAGTGAAACTTATAAAACTATGAATACCCAATAACAATATGCTTCTACTGTTCTGAAGCCAAATTATTTGAAATAATTACTACTGACCAAAATGGTCTCATGGTTGACCCAGTTTCCAAATGACCATCAAGTGTAAAAGTGTGCCAATACCATCACAAGTAACAGCTTCCCAAAATATAAGAAGATCACTTGACAAACATAACAACAAAACAGCGAGAGACGCATGTAGCATCTGCCGAGAAGGGGTCAGGGGCAGTGTCTGAAAAATGTGACCCCTTCCCCATGTTTAAATGTCCAAGATATTAAAGTCTTAAAGTCTTCAACTGCAGTAAGGCGCCTGACCTTCTGTAACTTAAGTGCACAAAGAAACGTTCCATGTGCAAGGGAAAAAATGCAAATCCTCACAAGGTCAGTGTTTCAGGTTGCAACTGAAAAAACAGCCACTTGCTTAAGTTTAGGCAGTTACCTCACAGGCATTACATCAGAAATAATGGTGAAGATGCAACTTTCACTTCTTGCTCCCAAGCCTAAAGTGGGGATTTAACCTTTACCCTCACCATTATCTCATAATTGTAGTTAACGGTGATCCAATTGTCTTTATTTTATGGCACATCTGTATTTTCTGTGCAACTGAATTTTGTTCAACTGAAACAATAAACTGTGTGAAAACCAAGAGTCAGGTGCGTGGATTACACATGGGTGACTGTCCAACACTTAGGGTAAAACTAGACTACAAGCTCACCGTGTCATCTATTGTTTGTGATTTGTATGCTGCATACCAAGTAGGGGCACTTTGTTCTGCAAGAGCTCATAGTAGCCTGAGGTCAGAATGCCCACAGGATTACTTGGAGTGAAGCGTCCCTCTTTCACCAAGCGCTCGCAGGTTCTCATGAGGGTAGCAGAGAACTGAGATGGGTCAACACCATAGTCACGCCAACCTCCCACACCGTCTGCGACTCCTGAAACCAACAATATTAATACAACTGAGGATGTACAGAACATTTTTACAATGGATTTAAACAGATACTGATTTAGCCTTTTTTTTTTAAAGTTAATTTAATTTATTTCGGTTGGGATGTTTCAGAACTTTTATGTCCATTACAAACCACTGATTAACCATAAAAAAAAAAAAAAAAAAAAAACAGATTCATTTTCTAGTAATATACATAAGAACCACAAGGATTCAATACATCAGCATAACTGACCAGTGACCATAGTGCATCATTGTTAAAACGACCATCAAACACACGTGGTGGTGGTGTTTTTTTTCCTTCTCTTCTTTTTCCCATGCTCTCAGCTGGTGAGGACAAAGCCCATAAAGCTAAATAGGTTAGCAGCCTGTTAGCAATATGGCTGCCTCCATGCTCTACCATTCTGACCTTTGCAAGACATTGTGCTGTTCAATCTAAGGGTATACAGTGCCGTATATTCAAGTATGATCTGTTTAAAATGACTCCAGATACAAATGTTCATTTAAATTGTATATTATCTTGCTACGTTTCACTAGACTTTCCCCAGGAGCCTATCTAGGTGAAAGGTCATTCGGTGTATCGCATAAGATTGTCTGTCACATGCTATTACATACTTTGTATTGAATGCATTCATTTAATGCATTTCTTATTTTCTCTTTCCTCGAACTGGTGACCTGTGAGTTCAACACACTGTTGTCGTAGGATCAAAAGTGTGATGCCAGCTGTCATGTGGCCCAGAGGGTGGGGTGTCATGTTTTCATCCGGGGGTCGATACACGTGTGAAGGTCACTCAAGCACATTTGACGCTTTTCAAACTGGAATTTTTAAAGGAAATATTCTTACCCAAAACATCGGCAGTCTTGTGTCGTGCTACGAAACACGCATCGTCCCCATAGCACATGCCCTTTTTCAGGATTCCCTTACGAAAGTCTTTACCAAAGCCATAGCTGGCACTGATTAGCTTGTAGTCTCGACCGTCCGTTTGAGAGAGTCCTCCAAGGACAGCCCTCGCAACAAGTCTGCCATAGGACAGTACGGATAACATCCCCTAACAAACAGCAACCCCAACCTGGTATTAGCTTGCTGCCCGTCACTCCGCCGCTTCTACAGGGCTACCTCTCCGTGGCAAACAGCGTCGTTATCCACCCATCCGGATTTCACTTGGCCGCTAAATAAGCTGTGAGTCCGATGCCACCCTTATCTGAAGTATGTCAAAACAACACCGCTTCGTTTAACAGCGCTTTGTTCCGACCGTCCCTTTCACAGACGTAGTTCCTCCGCTTGGCTCTCTGCTTTTCGACATGTTGCCGTCGGAAAGCTGCGAGTACATACGGGTACCTCAGCGTTCACACCAGACGTCAAAAGAACGTAACCCAGCCACAGCCAATTAGAAACAATGTGGTATAAATAAAGACAGATAGAGTAGCCATACAATATTATGTATTAATGCAACAAAACAAAACACAAAAAAAAAAAAAAAAAAAAAAATATATATATATATATATATATATATATATATATATATATATATATATATATATATATATATATATATATATATATATATATATATATATATATATATATATATATATATATATATATATATATATATGTTTTTAAAATGCAAATGGTTACCATTTATTTAAATAAAGGTATTTTTAAGTGATGAGGTGTGTCTGTCAGGATTAAATGATTGGTGGTTAAAATCCCAGGAATGTCTCTCAGGATGAGGTTTCCCTGAATTATGAAAATGAATATTCACCCTATATTAGAGCAGACATGTCAAACTCAGGCCCAGGGGCCAATTTGGCCCATGATATAATTATATTTGGCCCGCAAGATCATATCAAATATGTATTACAGCTGGCCCTCTGGCTATAGGCAATAGAGACATTATTTATTTAAAATGTTGTTATTATTTTATATTACTTGTTCTAGATTCAATGTTAATTGAAACTATTATTAAAAATTTATTTTAATAAGAAAAGGTTTAAAATTACATATCTCAAAAGAATAGAAAACATGCAGATGTTGTTGAAAATTTGGCCCATGACTTAGTCTCAGTTTTTGATTTTGGCCCTCTGTGAAATTTAGTTTGACACTCCTGTATTAGAGTAACAATTAATGCAGAAATGCACTATGGATACAACCACTGAATTTTACATAACCTAGATTAAATATAATGTTAGGGTCTGTGTAAAAAATATAATTGCATTTTGCTTACATGTTGAAAAAAGACATGTGTCTTTAGCATATATCTTTTTCGAGATTTTGTCACATATAATACGGTTGAACACAGACATTAGATAAAAAGAAAATACAAATACACAGTAGGTTAAATTTGTTTTTAAAAATGCAATAAAAAGTACATTGAGTCAAAACTACTGAAACTGAATGTCTGTTATTACAGTTGCCATGGCCATGGTTCCTTTAGCTCAGACTTGGTCATTGTCCAACTCTCGGACCACATACGGCCCTTTGGTTGAGTCTGACTGGCCTGTTTAAGGTTCTTTGGAATTACAAAATAAATATATTTCATAATATGACCTCATGCATGGACTAAAGCTGCATAGTTTTTATTTTAAAGGAGTTTTTTAATGACATTATTTTAAGGCAACTGCATTTTTTCATTGCTTAGTCATTACACAGACTGACCAGCTTGCCAAAACAATGCTATTTACTGCTTTTTTATAAAGAAATACAATTAATATGCAGAAATGAGTTAAACATTTTGGCCACAATATTTTCTGTTTCTCATGTGGCCACAGGGAAAAAATACTTGGCCACCACTGTTCTTGTTTATCTATTGCACATGGATACCAAACACTACACTACACTACTGTGATTCATCTCCACAGTGCATCTGGGGACTCAAATGAATTATTATTTACCTTAGTGATAGTCTCTAAGGAAAGTGCGGTTGCGCCAACATGTAGATCAGTGGATCATCTGCTCCATAGAGTTACATTTGTACCTACAGGTTATAATGGCCATATTACCCTGTGATTCCCCTTAAATTATATGTTAATATCTGCACGTCTAAAATAGACAGCCGGTTTTAAAAAGCGTCGATGTTTTTTGTGTGTGACGTTAACGTAACGCAGAACCTAGCTCCGCCTCCATTTCTCTCGTCGTCTGTAACCAGCGCATCAACACGAGCGCACCCCTGAATCCACCCAATACACCGAGGAAGAACCGTAACACGGATTAAGAGGACACGTCCAAGCTTCCACCTTATTACCACCGAGGCATCTGATTATATAGTACCACGGTAGGTTTTAAAGACAGTAATGGGAATTATTTACGGAGTAATTTTGTGATGGGAACGTAAGCCCAGCCGACGGGCCTGTTATAGCATCTAGTCGAGCTGGCTATCTCTAGGCTGAGCTCTTCTTCAGAATAAAATTGGCTAGCTACCTGGCTCCACAAAATGTTTTCTTAATGTAACAAAGTATAGAAACAAACTATGATAGCAAAATAAGTTAGTCATTTCTTTCATTGTTAAAATAACCTAATGCAAGCGTCACAATAGGCCTTTAAACATCGGTTAACTAATTGCCTTTTTGATTGTTGGAGAGCTGTGATAGGCCTACCTGTTATTTTTGTTTGTTTATATTCATAATATGTTCTTTGGTATTAATCAAGTACTAATGAAAGATGGCTTTATCTTTTAGGGCCATGATGGGCAAACTAAGGGGGGCTGTCCTCATCTGTCTTCTTATTATGGGACTCCTATACTTTGATGGGACTTTTGCTAAAAAGGGAGGTGGATTTGGAGGAGGCAAGAAAACATCATCAACAAACAGGTGGGGGTCCTCAAAGCCCCCCAGCTCTCAACCAGGAAATTACCCTCGGCAAACTCCTAATCGAAACTCTAACCCATATCCTGCTGGCGGAAGTTATCCCCATCCAGGAAACACCAATCCTGGAGGATATCCCAGACAAAATCCAGGAGGGAATCCTGCTGGAGGATACCCAGCTGCTGGAGGATACCCTAACCAACCTGGAAGAGGAAATTATCCTAACCAGAACCCTGCAGGGGGCTATCCAGCTGCAGGAGGCTATCCAGCTGCAGGAGGCTATCCAGCTGCAGGGGGCTATCCAGCTGCAGGGGGCTATCCAGCTGCAGGGGGCTATCCAGCTGCGGGAGGATACCCCAACCAACCCGGAAGAGGCAATTACCCAAACCAAAATCCTGCAGGTGGTTACCCTGCAGGTAGCTATCCTGCAGGTGGTGGGTATCCTGCTGCTGGGGGATACCCAGCAGCGGGAGGATACCCCAACCAGCCAGGCAGAGGAGGCTATCCAAACCAGTACCCAGGTGGCTATCCGGCCGCAGGTGGATATCCAGCTGCTGGGGGCTATCCTAACACTGGGTGGGGAGGTGGCTATCCAATACGAGGAGGAGGTAATACGGGGCAGGGCTGGGGTGCACCAGGCTCATATCCTGGGGGTTATCCTGGTGGTGGAATGGGAGGCTATCCAAACTGGAATCCCAACAATAAGATCCTCAGCCCTCGCTATGGCGTAGGAAGCTATGGCGGTTATGGGCCGGGTGGGTCCCCTTTTGCCCGTTCAGCCATGAACCAAGGCTTCATACCTAAAGTAGAGTCTAAGGGTTTTGCTAAAAAAGCAATGTTGGCAGCTGGAGTGGGTGCTATGGCTGGTATGGCTGTTGGTTATGGATTAGGACGATTTCCACGACCACATTTTCACTTCCGAAGTCATGAAGAAGAATACTACTACAACAACTACATGTACCGTCGCTATGGCACCCAGTCCACGGATCAAAAAGACTATGGTCGTGATTATGAATACAAGCTACCTCCACGAGCTGATCCCTATGATAAATACATGGACAAATGCATGAATCGAACTGACCTTCTGAAAGACCAGGACAAGTCTGACATAGACGAGGAGGACAAGGACACTGTCAGCATTGAAGAAATTGGATACCCCTCTTTAATAGAGCAGATGAAAGCACGGCGGTGTGTGGAATTGTACATGGCCTACTCTGAGCAGTTTCTCCAAAAGCGTGCAGAAGCCCAGATACAAAACAAAGGTAGTCTTCTGTGTGTCTCTCAGCTGTTCACATCTGTGGTGATTTTACTGTGCAGCATGTTTCTGCTTCAGTAAGCCCTTTTGCTACTAATATACTCACACATGATTTGCCATTGTCTGTGCATAGCTACTCTGTTTTTTGATCACCTTGCCTAAATGCTTATGGACTAATCTGCTAACATGTACAGTGTACATTAACCACTTTGCAACCCATATATCACATCACTAGTTTCTCTTAATGAAAAAGGAGGCTTCTCTCCCTTTGATAATCCATATTTTCTTATAATTTATCTACAAGAGCTTGAATCGTAGTACATAACCTGTTCCAAATAGAACACTAAAATCAAACCATGTGTGGTAAAATGTGCCAAATGTTCATAGTGATGCAGCAGCAATGTAACAGCACAATAAGCTGCTGAGTCACATCTAGTAAATCAGAATACTTTTGTATGAACTTTTTAGTATTTAGCATCTTAAAATATCTACTGAATTAACATAAGACTAAGTGAAAATTCTATGAGGTATGATGACATAATCCCAAGATCCATTGAAAAATATGGTCACATTGCATTTGAATTTAAATACAAATTATTTGTACATCTGAGCCAGACAATTCTTTGTGGGTTGTAGCAGAGTGAGGTCTGGGTGGTAATGGATGTGATAATGCATCCACATGAGAAACCTGTTTGTCTTGCAATTGGTTATGTAAGATGAGACACTATGATATCCATGTGGCCTGTATTTTCTTCATTATGATATGATCAATACTCTGGTGAACTAGGTGGAATACTACTGAGTTTCCTTCTGAAAATTTGTTTTGCTTTTTTAATATTGTTTTTCATATTAAGGCAATGTTTTAACATAAAAACAGGGAATGAAAAATAGCTGGAAACATTTACTAAATAACTGGATGTATATTTTGTGTTTTATTGTGCACAAAATCTGATACAAGCTCAACTGGAAATATTCCTTTTTTCCAAAAATCCTGTTCCACTTCGCCCCCTATTGTGTGCATCTGATTACTTTTTTCAGTCTTCCTTCTTCTGCCAATTTAAAGTACATTGAGGCGATTGTGAAAAGTATAAATTGTTCTATCCATAATACGACTTTTGTTACTCCAGTTACATGAATACATAATTTTTGAGGCACCCTGTGTGTCTATGAACTACTGTTTTTTTAGATGTATGTTCTTTTTAAAATGTTTGCTAACTCTCCGTATTGTTTTATTTGTTGTAAAAATATAAATTTATACATGGATATCCATTTTATTGAATAAATTGTATAGAATGTCCTTCATGATCAGTGGGTTTGACAGGGTTATTGTGTTAAAGATCTGTAAGTTCTCTTAATTTTCCTATGGCACCCTCCTTTCCTCATATTTAGAGTACACAAACTTGTGTGTACTGTAATTTGAATCTGTTGTTGTAAACAATTGCATCCAAAACATCAAAGACAGTCCACAGTTGGTCAATAAAATGACTTTCATGCTAAGGACATTGTTTTACTGTGATTACTAAATCCCTGAAACTGAAGTATGTAGGACATGTTTAATGTTTAAGAGTCATATAGAATTTAAATGTTAAAAGCTCCCTAGATGAAGTGTCTTCCTCACTATTAATGTTGTTTTTTCATCAACTTTTTTCATATAGAACTAGTCTATACTCTTTCTTCGGTACATTCTGTCTATCCTTTTTTTCTGGCAAAATGACATTTAGTAGATGTACGTAACCTTTTTGCAGTACATTTTTATTTAACATCATGTTTTTTAAGCATTCCTTATCCAGATTATGAGAACTGACACCAAGGATAGCAGAAAAACAGAGTTGTTTATGGCAGGAGCAGCTGCGTTCCACTGTGACTGGTCCTCTGCCCTCTGGCCCTCTTTATGGTACATATGTTGATTGGATGAGATCATTTTATGGCCTGATTTGTTCTTTCCTTTGCCGAGGAAGCCCAGGCCATAGCCAGTGGCCGTTCCTCCGAGTATGCCCCCAGCAGCAACAGCCCCCACCACTCTGAGGCCCTGTTTAGTGAGGCCATTGCTCTGCAGGGACTCTTTTTTGCTTTCCCCTTTGCTCTTGCCCCGAAACAGCCCACCGCGTTTACAGAGGGTCTTAGGACACAGAGTGGAGAGGAGCAGAAGGCACATGCACATAGAGTAAAGTCGGGTCTTCATTATTGCAGATAGATCTGTGGACACATGTTGATAAGAGGCAGGTCACAGCTGTGAGTGATATAAATTACATAAGATGCTTTAGTGTTCTGTGTTTGTTTGAGGCAGGCTCATGCAGTCACATGATCAGAGCACAACAGAACTCTGGAACACTCTTCTAGTCAACAGTTGGATTAACTGAACATAATGTGTGGTGGTGAGTGTCTCATTCACAGTGACTATTACAAATGTATTACAAAGAAAAGAAAAGAAAAGAAAAGAAAAAGAAAAAACCCAAACCAGGCAAGGGAAGAGGAATAGAGGCTACTACTTTATAACAATTTCTTCCAATAAGATATTATGGTATTTACATTATAAAATTACACATTCACAATAGAGATTTAGTCTGCGGTCAGCATTATGGTCTTTAGGATGTCTTTTTGTTTTTTTTACACTTTTACACACAAACAAGTGTAATCCCTACTCACATTACATTATTACGAGTACACTTAAAACTATTTTCACTTCAGATAATGACTGTTATAATGATAATTGGGCTTCTGAACTGTACATTTATTGAGTAAAATGTATTAAGCTCTTGTCTGCATATCATTTAATAAAACTGTAAAAAAGATAACCCTACCTTTCTGTCTGGTCTGACAGTGAGATGGTGGTGCTTCATCGATGGTCACCTCTGAAACTTTCATCAGTGGTATGCTTTTAGGAGTCATCTCCATGGAAACCACTTCTAATGCTAGTCCCACCCACAAGGGAGGAGCTATTGGCTCTGCTTGTATACAGTACAGTCAGTGATTTTTGCTGACACATAGGCTACTGTACATTGACACAGAGTGAATGCAATAACTTGTTCTCACCTCAGTAATAAACATGGCACACGAAAAATAAGTGATTTAAAAACCTTAATTCCAGTTATGGGAATAAACAGTTAAATTAAGGTAACCGAAGTCTTTTCAGTCTAGTGTAAACATTTTTATTTTTCAAAAATATATACAACAGCAAAGTACCTTTTTGTTTTATTTATTTATTGTAAAAAAAACAAAACAAAGTTAAATAAAATTAAATGAATTAATAACATGATCTCAAAGTTAAATGTGTTTTTATTTCAGGGAACCAAATAAGACACAAATTCATTGATCTGACACAATTTACAGTTTAAGAAAAAAAAAGCCTTAACTGAAATTAATGCAAATATAAATACATGCAAAAAATAAAATAAATAATAATAAATAAATAAAATAAAATACAATAAGATATAAACATGCTTTTATAGTCCTGACTAAAAGTGAAGTGTAAAAGCCTATAGCAATTTGTATCAAAATGGAAGATCCTGGTGTCACTTTTTATGTCAGAATTTGGTTATTTGACACAGGAAATAGCAGCTGGAAGCACAATGCAGTATCAGTCTATAGATGGTTGATTAGATAACATTCTCAAAAAGTTGCATGGAAGCCATTATATTTTCATCCTGGAAAAGAGAGACATTTTTAGTGACATGGTTCAAAATAAAGCTGTCTTCTGTCTGTTACCTTCTGACATGTTTCAATAAATTCTTCAATCGTCACCACTCCATCTCTGTTACGATCCATTTTCTATGAAATTACAAATTCCACAACAATTTGAGGCCCAGATTCAGTACTGTAATGTATCATGTCCAACAGTGTATACGATCAAATTCACCTGGAAGAACTTCTCCACATGCTCAAATGGGGAATCATCTCGCACACTGGGCAGTGTGTACCGCCCCATCATGTCATAGATGGAGGTCATTATTGCCAACATTTCCTGAAAGAAAAGTCAAAGATTGGAACATAATATACACACACAATATTGACCTGATGGCTCTGCAGACCTCTTTAGTGACATAACCGTCCTTATTGATGTCATACAGGTTGAAAGCCCATCGAAGCTTCTCAGTCACAGAGCCCCTGAGGAGCACGGACAGGCCCAGCACAAAGTCCTGTTTATAAGCACATGCTTTTATTTAGCCTGTAAAACAATGGAAACTACAGAGTAAAAGCCAGTTTAAACACTATATACCTCAAAGCGGATGGAACCATTCCGGTCCATATCAAATGCATTAAACAGAAAATGAGCATAAGTAGTAGCATCTGAAATGAAAAGTACAAATATTTACTGGAGAAAAGATAAAAATACAGATATTAGAGAGAAGTGAGTGAATTTACAACTGCAACAGTACCTCCCTGAGGGAAGAACTGTGAATAAATACTCTTGAATGTTTCTTCATCCACTAAACCACTGGGACACTCCTGTTGATGAGAGACAAATCTGTGTCATGGTACAACCCATCCAAACATAAACTTAATTTAAATAATGGAATGAATGTGTTCTAATGTTGTTAGTGCTGTCTTATTAGCACAATGGACTCTCATCATTTTGAGAACAGGCAATGCTATTTCTATTGCAGATCAAGGGTTTTATAAATAGGCTTCACATCTCACATTCACAGCCTCTGTGTCCAAATTTACTCCCTAAGACAGTTTGCAGTTTATTTTACTAAGAGTATAAATCAGGAGAAATAATTTGAGAAAACTTAGTATAATGGAGGTTATAAGTGATAAAATAAAGGTAGAATAGTTATTGTATAGATCTGTTCTGCACCTGTTGGTCATATTTCTCTATATAAATAAATACATAAATAAATAAATAATTGTGTGCAGTTATAGATAAATGGCTCTTTCAGTGGAATTTTTGACTTGTGAGAAAATGTCATTGCTACTGTTTTGGGGGAAAAGTCCAGTAAAACGTATTAAAGCCCAACATCTGTGGTTTCAGCATTTTGTTAAACATCTTTAACATCCCCCTAAAGCCCATTAAACAAATATCAATGCCTGCTGTTGTTTCCAAGTCTTGTAACACATGCTTTGTTTACTTGTGGCCCTGTTGTTCTCCTCTTTAATGGCCCACTGCTACATTTAATGGCACATTACAGCCCCTGAATGTCAGTGTGCATTATACCCTTCTAAAGTTAGAACACATCATCTCAAGGTGCCTTCAGACAGAGAAAACAAAACAAAGCATATTGTCAAACTGATCAGTATGGTCTTGTTTTCCACCGGGACAATGAGCTAAAGCACAATCAAAAGAATTTCATTAACTCAATTTATCTCTTTTGATCAGTCCTTCATTTCAATGCAAAAATTACATGCATTAAATATGGACAATATATAGCCTATACCTTAAAAAAGCTACATCATCTGCTCCATTATTGGGGAAAATGTGCCTTATCCATTGAAAAACTAATAATAAATGGTCAAATTTTACTTTTTCTACCTTCAAGACACCTTCATAGACACTAGTTAAGGGCACAACGACAACAACAGCATTTATTTATTTGTGGGAGATCTGACAAGTCGACCAGTGATGTTTATGTCGAGAGCGGGACTCAAACCGCAGAACCTCTGATTGGTTCAAAGGAGGAATACTCTACCAACAGAGCTACTGCCATCTAGTATTGGACTATATTTGGAAAACCATGAGATATTCACATTTTTGAACCCCCTGTAGAGTGACTGCAGCTCCTTCCTGGTGAACTGGGTCTGAGCTTGGAGCTGCTCCAGGCCTTCAGGCTGGTGGCGCACCATGGACAGCTCCAGGTCACTGTCACTGCTGTCTGTCAGAACAAGCATAACAGACAAACAAAGGGAACACACAGGGAAAGAGGAGGAGTGGGAGAGGATAGGAGCAGTAAGACTGGAACGAAAAACAGAACATAGTGTGGGAGAAATATCTGAGCATCAGTAACTGGAAATGCTCACCATCTAAAGGGGGAAATAATATGTGAAAGGTGTGAGGAGAGGAGAGGAGAAAGTGAGAAATTGGGTGGAGAAACAAGGAAAGTATACTTTATGTATTGTCTAATAAATCTGTTTTGTTTTCAATAAGGGACACAAGCCTTTAACAATCAATAAAGTGTCATCAGAGAAATTTTTGGAAATGCATCCTCTAAATACAGTACACTTGGTGTATTTTTGTAGCTATTGACTAATAACATACAGACACAAAGATATTAAGTCAATACATTGGTAGATTACTGTCTTCTAAAGGGACAAAATAATATTAGTAACAAGGGGAAGCACACACCCTCCAGAAATTACAAAAGATGCTCACCGTCTTCTCAACATCAGATAGGTCAGGAGGGGAAATGGGTAAGGTAAAAAAGCAATCATTAAATTCTATAACAAACAACTAACACACAAGAACAACAATATATTGACCACAAACCAGGTCCATGCTTTCCTTGGGAGTCTTACCTTCTAATGACAAAGGTTCCCAAATCCCAAACTGTTTCAGCACAACAATAAACAGCCCGATCACGACAGCAATGGCTATCATTTCCATGCCCTCCATTTTTGCCTTTCATTTAGATACAGCGTCTGGTTCCGAATTGCTACAATAATAAAGTTAAGTGTTTTAGATGCTAACTCTTGTCAACTAATGTCAGCTGTGGCCAGTCATCTCTGGGCTATTGACGTCTCCTTTTCAAACGCTTGTAGTACAGGCATCAGCACTTCTTATCACTTAGATGAAAACCACCAGCTTCAATCAGGGTTGTGTTAAAACGCTAAGAGAATGGACGCATAACATCCCCTTTGAGGCAGGTAAGAAATAAAATTTCTTCATTCCTACTTCTAAAAGGTAAGTGTTGTATCCATGTCTTCGGCGACCGGTGTTTAGAGACCTGACCTGTTAAATTTTGGATCTCTCCCACAACAATACCATACCAACCAAGTGCTCCTCCCACAACTGCCTGCTTCACTCTGTCCCATGTTCAGAAGTGTGTTTCTGAGGTTGGGGAAGGGAGTGCGTGTTACTGAAGGAATTTCTTCACTAATAGTCTCTGATGGACAGTTTGTGTTGTCTTTATTCCCTAAGTCATTTCAAGGATGCAAAGCTGTAAAACCAAGCATTGATCCACATCCGCTGATGGTTGGGATATGAACAGCACTTAGGGTGAGCGAGTCAGCCCTGCCCTGAGCGGCGCTGCCCCTGTCTCCTGGACCCTTTGCTGTTTAAAATAGTAAAGATTGTATATGCCATAATGCCGCCTTTTAAGTCATAGAAGCTCATTTAAATGATCACTGTATTGCTGGCATTAGGTAGTCTTCACTTTCATGTACTACTCAATTAGAAATGGACGGTATGCCAAAAAGTTTCTCACTCAACTCAATTTTGATTGTATCACTTTTCATGGAATATTCTTTATATTGCCTTAAAGAGGGAAATACACTTTTTGTATTTTCACACTACAAAGTAATTAGTTAAATCGATCTGTCACTCACTTAGTGCTTTACAGAGGATAACCAATAGAATGAATGGGTGAGTTAAAGTGTCTGAGTTAAAGTAGAGAACTGCATTAAACAGAAAAGCTCTAAATCCTGATATGACATAATAATATCACCAAAAAAGCATACTGTCATACAGATCAGATCACGTTTACATTTTTATTGCCAAATCATCCAGCCCTATGCTTAAAAATAGTATTGAAAATAATAGTATTGAAAATAATAGTATTGAAAATAGCGTAATATTGTCCCAATATGTCCCAAAAGATGACCAGCTTTGGAATTCAAACTTTATTGCCCATGTAACAAGTGAAATAGCCATGTTTGTTTTATTTATTATTTTATTAGTTTATACACCCTTTGTTTAGTTTGTGACCATATCATATACTAGTATGTGGGTCTTGCGTCTTGCTTGAGTGTGTGGAGGACACTGATGATGCTGCACAACATAATGGACAGAGCAGAGCAGATCAATGGTGGAGAGGAGTTAGAAGAGATAACACTAGTTAAAACATTTGTTTAGTCAAACATTACCACCCAACAAAGTAAAAACCATTCTAAAACATCTTTGACCAAAGTTTATGTGACTTGATAAGTATAGATCAGAAGACACAGCCCTACTGGTTGTCACCATGATTTCATCTCAAGCATTTTCAATCAAACTGAAATTTCTTCGCTTGAATTAATTTTAAAAAATCTTCCATGAAGTAACATGTCAAATTTCAAAGGGGATTTGAAAAAACAGGCCTTTCCCCCCACTCACTTACTTTATGGAAGTAACCAGTTAAATAACTGTAATGATAGCCTGAAGAAACATTAGCCTATAAACTAAATTATGGAGAAGAGTTTGTGCCTAGTTTAATGGCCACTGCTTAATCATTTGCATTTAAATGACTTTCCAAAGGATTTTGCTGTAGCAGACAGAAACACACTCAGCCATTACAGTTCATCAAGAGTTCTGTGACATCTGACAGGTGAACATTCAGGTGACAGGTGAATATTTTGTTAAAGCTACTAACTGCTCTTAACAGTAGCTGCTACACCAGAATGGAAAAACTGCCATAATGAAAACAACCACTAGAGGGAAACCATGTACAGTGCAATCTTTGCTTTAGTTTGATTAATGGATGTGTCCTGAATACTCCATTTCCTTAAGATATGCTAATTCATTAGGCATCGCTCCATTTATCAGTATGTCGTTTTGATAATAGAGATTGATGTCACTTTCAGATGTGTGCTTTGTCTGACAGCACAGAAGGTAAATGTCAATAATTTAGAAAACAGGGCCTTGTGGGGCAACATGGTGTGTACAAACATACATCTGCATTACACAATATAAAATGTATTTAAAGAGGTCCATAGATTATGTGTATATGTTTCTTGTGAGAAAGTCAATGTGATGCAACACAATAGTTTACAAAACAAAATGAAGCCATGGAGAAACAGTTCATTTGCTGACAGATAGGAAGCTGAAATGAATGGACATCTGATGAAGAAAATACCTGCTCCAGAAATAGCTGAAGTGAAAAAGAAGTCAACACTGAATTTTAAATGTTGATCCCTACTGTAGATGGGGCAGAACACATGATGTAAAATTCATGTATTCTGGATTAGAGCGGCCTGAACCATCTCCCTCTGACACAAGCTGCAGCTCTCACTCCACCCTTTCTGTCACTAACCATTTTGTCCCACTCAGATACAAAGCATTTTTGCTGCAAGATTAGTAAAAGTGGAAGTACCTGGTCCCTGCTGATTGGTGCTGTCGATAATCCACTTCACCAGACAACATTTCATCAGAGATTTTCGGGTGATGCGAGGTTTCTGCCACTTGGAGCCTTCTGTTTGTGTGACTGGACCAGGATCTTTACCATTGGCATCAGGCAGGAGACCACCATCCGCCACCTTTTCATTAGCCTACAACACACAAAAAACATCAAAATGTGTATTGCTTCTTTAGATTTACAAAAAACATCTGTAATGAGTGGTGACTTAATAATGAGCCAAATTATTATAACCATGGATGTTTTTGAGAATTTGTAACCGGTCTAGTTTTGTATGGAATTCACTTTAATGGCACCTGCTTTGTATCATGTTTTAAAATGATCATAATTTAAATTTTACCCAAAAAATTAAAATGCTAAAATAATACATTGCATTGAAAAAAATTATAAACCCATTGTCCTATGACAACTTAATTTAAGTTCAGACATTTCTTTTGTTCTGCTATGGAACTCTGACCCAAACAGACTGTGAGGATGCTACATTTACCAATCCCATAACAATCCCATGGCATTTATACAGGCAAACTGGCCTCTACCCCCATTTGCGAAAGGACAATATTACATTCTAATGATTGCACTGTACTGGAGCACTGTTGATGCCTCATTTATTAATTTAATATATCTGAATGCAATTAAAAGTAGGTGTAAGTGGTCTACAGTACAATATTGATATTGTGCAGTAATAAGCAAATTCCAGTTGTGAAACATTAGGTCATTCCATATACATACTGAAAATCTAAGCTTAGCTTCTGTGAAAAGAAAATGGAAGAGTATAATGAGCTCACTGAGTAAACTGATATGTAATATCTATTGCCTGAAGTTAAATTTGGCATCACGTTATCAATACTCTCACACTACATGCACAGTTTCCCCTTCAATATCCATATGAATATTTCAGATATACAGTTACGCTTTATATAGACATAGTGCTTGAGATGACTACAGCCATAGCACATGCATAAGTGCTTTAATTTTTCTGTATGTACACTGAATTCCCCTTTAGGAAGCTTTGGCGAGAGTTGTTTTTGAGGGATCATTTTATATGCAGATGCTAAAAATGTACTTGTCATTCACATAATGCCATGTAATCTCAGCTCTTCACCCTATCTCCCTTAGAGACAGGGTGAGGAGCTCAGTCACACGGGAGGAGCTCGGAGTAGAGTTGCTGCTTCTCCACACCTCGAGGAGCCAGCTGAGGTGGCTTGGGCATCTGTTCCAGATGCCTCCTGGTTGCCTCCCTTGGGAGGTATTCTGGGCATGATCCACCGGAAGGAGACCCCAGGGAAGACCCAGGATACACTGGAGGGACTATGTCTCTCGGCTGGCCTGGGAATGCCTTGGGCTCCCTCCAGAGGAGCTGGAGGAGGTATCCAGGGTGAAGGAAGTCTGGGAGGCCGTGCTTAGACTGCTGCCCCCCATCACCAGGCCTCGGATAAGCAGAAAAAAAGAGATGGATGGATCTCAGCTCCTTGTTGCTTGATCTGATGATCCACCATTTTCAGGCTATATTCTTTTTTGTTGTCCTGTAACAGGATGATTTTATATTCTGAGATTCAGCCCTGGGAAACCCTGTCCCTTAATTCACCTATTTGAATATGAAAGGATGCCAAAGCACACAGCAAGGAGGATCTCTTAATAATTCACACGTTTTAAGACTGCACATCAATAAAAGATCGGTCTGCTGAGGATGCATGTACAATATAACTATGGGTAAAATGTTATTTCTGTAGAGATTCATTACACACAACATGATGCAATGTTATTTTCTATCTGCCCTGTATCAGAAGGCTAAGTAAATAATAATGCTGAATGCACATCTGGTTGTCTTTGATCCTGCGCTGCACTCAAGATGTGAGCTGAAGGTGACTTGGGGTCCCACATCAGAACTCATGCATTATTAAAAGGAGAAGAGCCACGTGGAGTAGTGTGTGATCAACTCTGCTGTGAGTCTGTTCACTGCGGGTCCACAATCTTCCTTCTGTACACGTGAATTCTTCTTCTGACAAACCATCCAAACATAACAGCCCATTCTGGTCAACATCATAAGCTGCATAAAAAGGCAACAGTCTCACTTCACGTCATATGTTCTTCTTTTCAACTTGCTTTCCACATCCTTTCATCAATTATATTTTTGGACCACAAAATGTTTTTGTCTGGTAATGAAGACATGTTACAAATTTATTATACCCATGTCAAAACATTCGTTTAACAAATATAAATCATAGCCGTATATGGTGGAGTAGACTGCATGACACATTTTTGTATTTATATGTTATGTTATGTATTAAGTGTGTTAAGTAGCCATGCCCTATTGCTTGTAGTCTTGTATTGTTTTAAATAGAAATTTAACTCGTTGCTTTTAACAGCTACAATTTAAATTCAAAATGCTTAGTTTTTACAAGTTAAGGTTTGACCTAGTTCAGATTGTTGGATTTTTGCTATTTTCTGAGGGTTAGGCCTGTAGGTTTACATGTAGGCTATAAGTCTACATGTAGGCTGCATATAGAATTTTGAAAAGCCATCTTTTCCGTTTTGAAATTTCAGACAAAATAAAGAACTTTAACCTAGTTATCATCAATACAAAAGGAGCAGGAGCAGAAAAATGCCGTAATGGGGAACTTCCAGCGCCAGAGTCTCACAGCGACAGCAGTGCAAATGCACAAACGTCGTGACATCGGAAAATTGATTATAAAAGCTGATTATGTTAACATGATCAAAATAATCCATACCCATATTTTGTATTACGAAATATTTGCATTTCCTACCTGCATCACGTTTGATCGGGTCTGGATGTTAACGCGCCGTAAGCGTCTGTGTCGTCCTCGCCACGCTTTTTGAGAATGACCCCAGTCTGTGAGCTGCAGCAGAGCACGGCGTCAAAGCACAGACACAGGTCCAGAGCAGAGCGAGCAGAGACAGCGGGACGCGATGAAGACGCGGTACTGAGCCGCTCTGAAGCGCCTGCTCCTCAACAGGTGAGACAGTAGGGCATTTAAACAGAGAGAGAGGAAGAGAGGCGAGGCGCCGAGCATGTGTGTTTACATTGTGAATGATGGTGACTGATGATATGAGAAGTGGCACAGTAGCCGTGGACATAAAAGTTGTGGAGCCCTAACTAACAAACTAATCAACAGTAGCACAAGCGCCCAAATCCAGAGGAAAATGTCTGAATCCAAGACCACTGTAGTTGTAGTTCTAATAAAACCACAATGAAAACTGTGACGTAGCTATGATCAATTTTTGGGCTTAGATATAAATTTGGATGCTAGAGGTTGCGTAGTCCTTTGGTTTCAAATGGTTTACCACATTCATCCTAATTAGGTGTTTCTGTCCAAATAAAAATAACGATAATGATGACCATGCTGAGTGCATGAGCAGCATAAAGGAGCTGGAGATTCACTGAAGGTGAGAGTCTAAAACACATGAAAGACATTTAGTTTCAAATAATGTAATGGGGGAGACCCGGGCTCGAATTAATGCTTTTTTCATTCCTCTCTCCCCCTCTGAAACCAAGCATAACAGAAATGCTAGTACGTCAAATCAAAGAGCAACATCTTAGCTATGTTTGGTCTTTTCGTTTTTTCATCTTCCTATCTTGTGTATACCAGAGTTATGAGAAAAATATAAATGCTGTAATTGACATTTAGGAAGTGAACGTGGGAGTGCTTCCAGCTCCATGAAATTTGGCTCCAGTTGACTTTACATCGCAAAATTGTCACCCCTACATTCTAGTGATTGCACTGTATTGTACCACAGTTGATGCTGATCACCTTTACTGAAAGAAGTGAGTTGCCTCATTTGTGAATTTAATATATCTGAATGCAATTAAACGTGGGTGTAATACAACTTTGATATTGTGCAGTAATAAGCAAATTCCAGTTGTAATGCATTAGGTGATTCCATACATATACTGTAAATCTAAGATTAGGTTTAGTGAAACGAAAATGGAAGAGTATTATGAGCTCACTGAGCAAACTGATTTGTTATATCTATTGTCTGAAGTTAAATTTGGCATCACGTTATGAATGATTTAGTTTCCCTTTCGTGCATTAAATGACAGCTTAAAGGTGCACTTTGTAACAGGTGCACTTTGTGGAGGGTATGCCACTTGCTTGTCTGCGTGGAGAGGTGCATTGTCTGGAATGTTTATTTCATATTTATTAAAATACAAGCATTGCGTGACTCCATTGAGATAAGTTTAATACCATACTGTGGAACATTCTAGGTAATAACTCCATGGAAGCATTTAAGCAGGGAAAAGGTACAAAGTGCATCTTTAATATTCCCAACCTTTTTGGTCTCTTGTATTGTTCAGTTGTATCATCGAGTCGATGATATGAAGAAATCTTATCCGATAGTTTGTGTCCTTGTGGCTCATGTCACATTGGTCTCACTTTTACACAAACTGGTTATTTTTATCCCGGTGGTTTGCTGAGAGACTGTTCACACTCTTCAAGTAACATGGAGGATGCAAAGGGCGTTTCAACACTGTTCATCTGACTTCCTATATTTGCTCCCGTCTCTCATAAATGTTGAATCTTTTTGTGTTTGCCACTAAAACTCACACATGTGACTCCTCACACATAGAACCACTGTCTACCATGTATTTTTTTAATCATTTTTAAATGGTCAGTTGTTCATGCTCATGTTTGTATATAGATAAACAAACTCATGTTTGTTTATCTATATACAAATATACAATATCTATGTACAATAGTTCATATATAAGGCAGTTGATCAGGTGGTAGGCTATACTGTAGTGTATAGTGGTCTGTTAAATGGGATGGGCAGCATTCTCCCCTTTGTGGACCTTACTCAAAAGTTTCCCATAGTGGCCTGAACTCCCAGAGCTGTAACATTTTAATTAACTCTGCTCCTAATCTGTGCTTTGAGTTAATTGGAGCTCAGAACACTGTGAAGCTGCTGTCATATGGACCTTACAGTGCACTAGAAGATTACAGGTCAATTACATTTGCTACAGCTTAAGAAAAAAAGTTTCCCTGTGAATAGTTTTTATCTCAGTGTACATCATCACACATGTAACATTGTTGATGTTTAATGTAAAATTAGATATTCACAATCAAAATATACCTTTTCAGAAAGTGTTTTACTGCTTAGGGCATTTAAAGAGCTCGCATGATGCTATTTTGTGATCTATTTTATACTGTTGTTTCATTTACACATGTTTAACACATAAACCCTGGATGTTTGTTCTCTCAAACAGAAAACACCTTGTGATGTAATTTGATAATACAGGAAGTGCTTCACAGTGTTTTCAAACTCCATACACCTTCACTAGAATCATTTGTATAATTTCAGCCCTGGAACTGCCTCTCTCTGAAACAATGGTAATAGGCAGCTGTCAACTTGAAAACTATCACTTCATGACATCACAAGGTGGAACAGAGATTTTGAGCTTTGGGGATGTAGACAGACTAATAGTAAAGGGTTACTCAGTCATGTGAATGAAACAGAGCGCAACTCCAGGTATGTTTTTGATGAGGTAACAACATTCTAACATGGCTTGAAACTCAAGACTCAATTTTGCGTAATATAGGACCTTTAAATATATGAAACAGCTTAAAAAAAACAAAAAAAAACCCCCAAAACTTTTACTCGTACATAGTACAGTAGTAAGTACTGTCAGTTAACCCTTTAATGTCACTGGTTCAGCTCTGGCTATGGTCAAAAATCCCCCCAGCACTATATATCAGTGCTATGAGTTCAGAGCAGTTGAAGCAGTTTATCACTGTCAGTAACCCCATGACGGGCTGTGCCAGCCCCAGCTGTCCTCAGTTGCACTCCCATTCACATATTACACACTATCTTCCACTCACACATATAGACTGTATCTCCACATTCACATATTGCACACTGTATCTCCCATTTACACAACACATTCATTTTGCAGATCATTCTCACTGAATGATGGAGCTTATGGAAAAGGCTCATGAGGCTGAGCAGAATTGGAGCTCATACATTACACTGTGATCACTGGACGTTTGCAAAAGTTTTTCCTTCCATATTTCAAAATACTTTGTTGCACTGATGTGAACATTGTCAGCAATTGTTAAATTGGGGCTCGGTGCCCCTGGGGGTCCCGATTCCCCGAAGGAAACTTTGATCTTTGATTGGGCTACACTACACTAACAGTCCCAAAACTATTTTATATATATATATAAAAATATATATATATATATATATATATATATATATATATATATATATATATATATATAATATATATATATATATATATTATTTTTTTTTTTTTTTTTTTTTTTTTTTTTTTTTTTGAATACATGGTCAGAATGTGAGTGCTGCACAGCTTACATTCAGTCTCAAGAGGGCAGTGTTTTCTGGGATAACTCTGCATGCTGCTAACAGATAAAGAATGGGCCACAGAACAATCTGATCAAAACTATGGTAAAGTAGGCCTGTTTCAATTCTGACTCAGCATGTGGTGATCCTGATGACTGTATCAGAAATGTAGCTGTGAGCTAAAAGATGTTCTAAGCAGAGATGTTGTCTGTACACTGTCTGTGATTGTATGAAAGGTCATCCATTTTCTTATTGAGATCCACAGCAACAGAAAGGATTCCTTTCATGTGAAACTGGAGTCATATTAAAGCAGCTAGTTGAGCCCAGAGGGACAAAAGTGAAATATCTGCTATAATGAGCAGCATGCAGGGGAAGTTACAGGATGTGTGCAGTTTCCCTGGGCGTACTCTATCTCTGGCTAAGGGTTTTCTAAAGATGTTTACTTTCCAATAACAATGATCACTTAGAGGAAGCTTTAAATAGAAGGAAAAGGGAAGAGGAAAACCTCCCCGGCTCTTTTTGTCTGAGACACACATAAACACTCACTTAAAGTCATATTTAAAGGATTTACATTTTTCTGTGGTTACTCCGCTGCAGATTAAAAGTTCAGAGAAGGGATCTCATGAGAGTTATAGCCCAGACTTCACCAAACAAACATGCCCAGGATAGTAGTCTATGGCCCGCCTCATTTTCCTGACGTTTGAAAGAGGAGGAAGAGGAGGAAGAGGGTCTGGAGAGGACCAAGGATCCTCCCCCTTCCCCACAAGCACAAATCAACAGGAAAAGACCAGGGGCCACAGCTGCACTCTGCACCAGAGCAGACACATGTCCACTGGATTCTTAGCAAAGCCTATCAGCTAAAGCGAAGGAATGAGCAAGAATCAGAAAGACGTGAAAAAAATTCAGACTGTTTATCTACAAAACCTGGAGAGGCTCAACCAGGGCAAAAAGGCAGAGAAGAAACTGTGGAAGCCTAAAGAGGGAGAGTTTGTGGTGCAGACCGCCATGGAGAAGCTGCGGCAGGCGCCTCTTGCTGGACACAAGAGCTCTGCTCATAGGATCAGCAGGGACCTCACCTGTTCCATCTGCCTGGACCTGTTCAAACAGCCTGTGTCTCTGCCCTGTGACCACACCTTCTGCCAGACCTGCATCGAAGGCTACTGGATGGGCCCCCGAGGACCTGGGCAGGGGGGCACTGGTTCCTGTCCTCAGTGCAGGAAAGTGTACCCAGGGCAGAGCTACCGTCCCAACCGCATAGTGGCCAACATTGTGGAGAGCTACTGCCATGGGCTGGAAGAGGGAGACCCCGGGCCCCTGCTTCCACAGGTGAAGGCCCCTGAACAGCTGCCCGTGCCCCGCTGCAGTAGACACCGAGAGGAGCTGAAGCTCTACTGTGAGGAGGACCAGGAGCTTGTGTGCTTAGTGTGTGGGCTGTCTCAGGACCACCGCTCCCACACTATGGTGTGTGTGCAAGAGGCCCAGCTCAAGTACAGGGTAAGCCATTGTCTGTGTGTCCAGCCCAATATCTGTATGACTCAAACATTTTGTGCTTTTGCCAGGCATCTTTGAACAGCTCTATGGATTCTCTCAAAGCTGAACTTAACATTGCACTACAGTGTGACCGTGAGGCAGAGGAGGAGGTCAGAAAGCTCAAGGTGAGAAAATTACCTTTCATGACTAATTGGAAATTAAAATGCTTTTTTTATTGGCTTATAATGTAGGTAACAAAAGCAATAGCAAATATGATGTGTATTATGTATATGTAAGAAATACAGTTTTAGTATGTATGTCTTTATTATTAGAGAGAGAAGTTTAGTAAATTAAATAAATAATGTTCATGGTAAATTGCTCCATGGTGGGTTTTTTTGCTATATGATGAGTTTGAGGGTGAGTTTTTATTTCAAGAATATATTCCTTGTGATATGGGTAACATTGCAGTTTCACTGTTAAACCCTGGGCAGACTGTATGACTCATGTGACCATCAGGAGCACACAGCCGACCTGAAGCAGCGCATCGAGGCCCAGTTCAGTGACCTGCATCAGTTCCTGTACCAGGAAGAGAAGCTCCTGCAGGTGAAGCTAAAGACGGAGGAGCGCAGGGAACTGATCCGACTTGATGAGCACAAGGCCCTGCTGTGTGTGGAGATCTCCCGTCTGCAGAGAGCCGTGCAGGAGACAGAGGACAAGCTCAATGAGCAGGACCCCTTTACTCTGCTCCGGGTCAGTCACAGTTCTGGTGCTCCATCTGGAAGTGCTCAGCAAACTCATGACTCAGCTATCAGTCCAAAAACACTCAGCCTTCCATTCAAAACTCATTTGTTCCCATAAGTGTTTTGTTACATGAAAAGCCCACAGTTATAAAGACTTATAAACACATTTTTAGTGCAGGGTGTGACTAGATTGAGTTTCCTGTGCACATTCTACAGACAGAAATCCAAATCTAATGCCAGATTGCATTTGATGATCAGTCACATATATACATGTAAATACATACATCTAAAATGCTGCTGACATTATACCACAGTTGCAGTGACTTAATAATAACAGAGGGCTTGGCTCAGACTCAGACCAGCAGGAAACAGGGCTGTGATCTCATTCACTGATCAGAGGATAAGGGTTTGAGGCACAAGGCCATGCTTTGGCCCAAGGAGTGGGACTTTCCCCGGCCACAGGGAGCTCTCACAGGGTGGATACTGTGAGCTCAGACATTGATGTAATGTGGAAAAGCTGTCTTTACTTTCATATACAACCAAAATAATCATCCCTCTCATTTTCTGTGTTTTTTTAGGGTATCAAAGCGCTTCTACAGAGGTGAACAGTGGTTAATATTTCACTGTAAATGTTGTGTTTTCCATTCTCATTGTTGGTTTGCTTCTCTTGGCAGGCCGCTGCTTAAGTTTGAAAAACCTAGCTTTACACCCCCCAGTCTGTGTGAGGGGCGCTTTGCTGGGCCTCTTCAATACAGAGTATGGAAGTCCATGAAAGGAAGCCTCTACCCAGGTACAGTACATCAACTCTTTTGCACTCGTCATTCATAGATCTTTCATTTTAAATATAACTTTGTCTGTAGTGCCTGCAGCCATCACATTTAACTCAAGCACAGCCAACCCATGGCTTAGCCTCACCTCCTCCCTCACGTGTGTGCGCTATCAGACCTTCAACCACACAGTGGAAGACAATCCAGACCGGTTCAATGCGGCTCTGTCTCTGTTGGGCAGCCAGGGCTTCACCCATGGGCGCCACTACTGGGAGATTGAGGTGTACAGTAGCACAGTTTGGACAGTGGGTGTGGCCCGGGAGTCTGTACCAAGGAAAGGAGTGATCAAAGCCCTGCCAGCCAATGGATTCTGGACCCTGTCTTTGTCTTATGGAGTCCAGTACATGGCCGGGACATCACCCCCAACTGTCCTTTCACTGGAAGAGCCTCTGGCTCGCATTGGCGTTTACCTGGACTATAAGAGGGGCCTGGTGTCATTCTATAATGCTGAGAGCATGACACACTTGTACACCTTTAGAGAGACATTCACTGAAACCCTCTATCCTTACTTTAATTTAGGCTTTCTGGATAAAGTACATGAGAATGAGCCTCTCAAAGTTTTCCTTCCTAAAATCTAACAAGCTGTAAATTGACAAAAAGAAAAGAAAAACAAAACAAAACAAAAAAAAAAGCAAAGTCAAATCTCAGATTGAGTGAATATATGGCACCTTCTTTTGTGTACAGTGAGTATATTGGGCATTCTGGGCTGGTTCTATTGCCAGAGCTATATTGTTTTGAAAATGCATTCAATAGTTTTTTATTTGTATTGTTTTATTTTAAAGGCCAGTGCTGTGCACGACATCCATTTGCACAAACATCTATTACATCATTCGTACTACTGTGATTTGTTTAATAAACCTTTTTGGAGTGCCATATAGTCTGTATTGAATATTTTCACAATTCTAAGAAGTTCAAATAACATTCACCTTGTCATAATGAGTGTGAGTTAATAATAGTAAAAGAATAAAGGGTTTGCTTTATGGAGTTATACAACATTAATCTAATCTGTTTATGGGGCTTTAGACATCAGCTCAGCTGGTTAAAGCAGAAAATATACACTCTTTTGAAAGAGTAACATTTTGAACAAAAAACAAAACACATTGAAACTGACATGACATTATTAATCTCTATAGTTATGATTTTTCAGACCAATTGTGCATTCCAAATCAGTGGCATGGAAAGGAAACAAAAATAGGCAAATTACTTTATACATCATCAATATAATACACTACTGCATATCCCATATTTGTCTTGGCAGTTTAAAACAATACTCTGTTTTAAACTTTCACTATTGTCTAAAGTCCTATGCTACACAAGGCTGGAGTTCACTGATCCAGAAGTGAATGTGAAGTATTTGGGTTGGTGTCTGTGGTTTCAATCGGTCCATACTTCGACTCCTTGTCTGCAGCTGGGTGTGTCCCACTTAATGTTAGGGTCCAAGTCTCATTTTAGGTTGACGATAGGTTTAGCTTGCATGCAAAGTGTCCTGGAACTTTGTGCTTGTATACTGTACATGGAAGCCTTTTTTACTAATGCTGTCATCTGAATGAAACTTTAAAATAATGGCATCTCCGGCTGAGTAGATCTCCTCTGGGGCCTGTAAACACATCACAGAAGTAAGATATGGTACTAACCCTTTGAGATCTGTTTGTCTTCTCATTTGAGTCTTACTCCCGATCCACAGAAGCGGCCCAGCCTTGGAGACTTGGTGTCTGCCCCATCATACAGTTCAACATAATCATAACCACAGTCAGCTTCTTCTTCTATCTCAAACACTTGGAAGATAACCTCCACACCATAGCCCTTCTCAGCAGACACCACCCACTCACAGTCTGCTCCTCCTGGGTAATTGTTGTCTCCAAACTGGGCATGAGAGAACAAGTCTTTGGTCTTGACCTCAGCTTTTAGGCTTCCTCCACATTCTGAGAAGTCATTGCCATAAAATGAGGGTCAAATAGAAGAAGGGCAAATTCAGCTTTTTTGGTTGATCTATATAAAAGCAATACTGTCAATAATTATTCTTTAAGGTGCATATTACCTGATCTATAGGAGGCCTCAAAGCCTCGCTTTTGCACTGAGTTGTCAGAAAAAAAACGTAGAAACATCTTATTGTCACTTGAGATGACCGGGGAAGGCTTCTTAGTGCCACAAAATCGGCCTAAACTTGGAGAACGGACATCTCTGCCATCATAAATCTCCAAGTGATCATAAGCACATTCCAGATGGGCCTCCATATCGATTTCATTGAATATCTGAAATTTAAATTGTACATGAAAAATTTGACCAGTATGCATTGACTGAAATGTAAACTAAAAAGTAGTTCCATACAAGTTTGATGCGGTGGCCTGGAGTAGAGGACATAGACCATGTGCAGGCTTTCTTGCTGGGATATCTGCCTGGCCAGTTGGGGCTACTGATAATTCCCGAAACACTGTTTACGACATGGTCACAGCCCGCTGGGGAGGTAAATAGCTAATGTTTAGCTTTAGCTTCATATGATAACAAAACAGAAATGCTATAGATATTACATTTTGTCATTTAGCAATCTAAACATATTTGTATGTATATAAAGGGAGAAAAACTATAATTGACTGATTAATAATTATTTATCCCCTTTTTCAAATTATCATGATTATCCCAGGTTTATTTTGTTAATTCATATTAACTGAGTCTGGACTTGGTGAGTAAGCTAGTCACAACACATTATAGTAATGATATTTACCTTCTTTGCAGTCATGCTTATTGTCATGCAGCATGAACCCACTGCGGCACTGACAACTGTAGCTTCCAAATGTATTTACACACTCATGCTGACATCCTCCATTTTCTTTGGAGCACTCATCCACATCTGTGAAGGTTTATAAAACAAACAAGAGTTAGTCTCATCAGTCAAAACAGAAAATTAACACTTGTGGGCTCTATCTTCCAAGTATCAAAATGTTTGTCCACATTCCTGCTACATGCTTGTATGGTTCACGTTATGTTTCATTTGTCTCACCAGAGAAGTAGTGAGCACTGAACCCTCTCTTAGACACTGTGTTGTCAGACTTGAACTCAATCCTCATGTTGTTGTGCAGAGAGGTGATAACCTCTGGTTTCTCTGCGCCACAAAACTTTCCATGAAGTTTTGAATCTGAACTCAGACCACTGCGCACCTCTACATAATCATATTTACAAACCTAAAAGACAACACATGACTTAGAAAACAAGATGTTCATACCTAGAAACATTGAATTTGATTAGCAGAAGAAACCTACATCATTCCCCTCAGTTTCAAATGCGTCAAACACCAGTGTGATGCGGTACTGAATGGGAGCCACCAGCTGCCACACACAGTTCTTGCTGGGAGGGTACTCTTTGGGCCAACCAGGAGTGGACAGAGAACCATTAAGCTTTGTCAGGAACCCACCACAAGCAGCTGCTGATAGGAGACATTGGCTTTAGAGTTAATAAGTACTCATATTTTATGTCATTTACGTTTTCATGCATATACACAATAATGATTAATTTGAAAATGTAAACACCAATACAATACAAACTGTGTTATTATCATTAGGCACTTCACATTATATTATGGACAGCTTTTAGTTTGTTAGTGGCACCGAGTCAAATCTCATTTTCAAGTTGCTGTTAGTCAGCAGTGCCCCCTTGTGGATAAATTCCAAATAATCTTCACAGTTCAAGATTCTGCCTTGAACCAGCAGATTATTCATGTGTTCAGTTTGAATAGACTAATGTGGGTAAATATATGTTATCTCATTAGTAACTGGGTGTGAGTTGTTGTTTAGACTCACTTTCACAGCTGCGCTTGTCCGGTGCCAGCTCAAAGCCAGGGTCACAGGCACACCTATAGCTGCCGAGTGTGTTTAGACAACGCTGCTCACACTGGCCTCTATCAGGTCTAGAGCACTCATCCATCTCTGTAAAGGATTCTAGTTGTTATTTCATAGTGCAAAACATAGTCATGTTATCTTGCTGACCTTTAAAAAAGTTGGCTGAAAACCCAGCTTTGTTGACAGACCCATCAGACACAAACTTAAGCCAGAGCTTGTTGGAGCTACTTTTAATGTCATCTGGTTTTTCATAGCCACAGAAACGTCCAATCAAAGGGCTTTCCTCTGATGCACCATCTCTCAGTTCCACATAGTCATAGGAGCAGCTATCATGTCTCTCAATCTACAGACAGGGACAAGATACTTAAATAGGATTTGGGGTAATAATAACTGGCCTATAACTTCAGATAAACTAGATTTTACCTCAAATGACTGAAAGGACAGACCCACATGAAATCCTTCTGCCACTGAGATCTTCCACACACATGCTTTGTTGGACTGGTAGTCATCAGGATAATTTGGAGACTGGATCTGACCATTGTCTTTTTTAACTTCTCCTCCACAAATGGCTACACAGAGTGAGCTGTCAGATGTGGTGGGATTCAACAAAGTCAAATATTCAGACTTAAAGAGCACCTTCATAAACAGCAGAAAAACCTTTGCCGACCCAGTTGCTACTACTTCTAAATTCAATCCAAAGTTGGCTGTCGGTTGAAGTAATTGAATCTGGAAGTGTTTCTCCACAAAAACGTCCTATATTAAAATAAAATAAAATAAATAACTTTATATTACAACCCCGCATAGTTTGTCACACAATACAAATAATCTAGCAAACAGATTAACTAATGTAATACCTTTGAGGGGAGCTTTTCTCCAGAAACCGTCACGCACTTCCACATGGTCATACCAGCACAAGTGACTCCTGAACAAGTCCATGGAGGAGAAGTTCAGAATAATCTGTAAATGACAAATAACTATAAAGTATAGTAAGATAGTAATAAATATGTATGTATTATTAACAAATATTAATTTGCCAACCTTTTCTCCCGGTGTGACAGAGATCCTCCAGACACAGTGAGCGTATGCTGCATAGCCATTGGGAAAACCAGGAGAGGAGAAGTTCCCACTACTGTCTTGTAAGTTGTCTCCACACTCTTGTTGTAGAAACAAGGACATTAGCTTTATTCTCAGTCTACAAAAGCTTTATGCTGGGCATCTGTGACTTGAATATTATGCAAGCAACATAGTGTAGTTATTCTTACTTGCACATTTGTAAAGTTTGCGAGCTTGTGCAATATCGCCTTTGCTAAGTTTAGTCCTTTGTCCAATTGACGGTCTTACTCCATTGATGTCATAACGAGGAAGTATTGTGTCTAAAAAAATGCCTCTGTAAAAATATCACAGTTAAAAGCAAACCAATATCACAGAAGGGTCCTTCAATTTGTCAGGTGGGACTCTTATCCAACACCTTGATACTGTATTAATTGTGATGGACGTGAGTCACTTTTGACCAGTTCCCATGGTGATGGGCCTATGAATGGCAGGCATGTGCAAACACCGAGCTCTGAATGAAGCCTTTGGCTGGTGCCAGCAGGCTCAGTGGAGCCCACTGCTGAATGGCACAGAAAAAGGCCACTCCAGCTCAAATGGTTCAACAAAGCCTCAACTGCCAGGCCTTTATTTAGTTTGGCTTTCCTCCATGACCCAGACCAGCAACACAGCGATGGGTATAAAAAAATCCAAAAGCACATAATTCAACAGGGAACCATGATGTACGAGACAGAAATAAAAGGAAACTAGTGTGAAAGGACTGCTACCACAATACAGAAACTAATGCTCAGAGGTTTGCCACAGAGGCCATATAACAGAGGCAGCTGCGGCAGCAGGATGCTCTGACCTATGCAACATCAAGATATTTGTGTAGAACTAGGACCTGTGGGCTACGCCTCTTGTTAATTATCGCTATTGCAGAATATTTGACAAATACAAGTTTCTTCATTGGGACAACACAATCAAGTATGCAGATTTAATTTTGGTATACAAAGTTTAGTTCCTCTAAAGAAGTTTGTGAAAAGAAATTCAAATCACACTACAACAGCAGCTCTAGAAGTGACTCCTCTGCGTCGTTTAGAAAAAGTGCTTTTGGACAGCTCTCTTTTGCTTATTGAGCAGGTCAAACATAGAATACAGTGCCTGCTCATATACGAGAACTTTCAACACTGGCAGCATTTTCTAAAGCTTTAAATCAGTGGTTGTTCAATGGCCAAATATGTCACCATGTTTAACCAAATAACATTTTTTATATTAAAGGGTTGCTGGTCTTTAACTCTTGACTTCGATCTTCAAATGAACTGTTAGAAATGTATTGTATGTATAGTGAGTGTACAGTGAGTGTGTTTTACGTATAGTGAGTGTGCTGGTTTTATGTACTTTTGTGTGATTGTTGCTGTACTTTTCCCTGTCCTATAGATCACAGGTGTCAAACATAAGGCCCGGGGGCCGGATCCGGCCCTCCAAGACCTTTAATATGGCCCTCGGCTGATTTTCTACTAAAATATTTTAATCATATTTTCTATTACAATATTGGTAATTTTCTGTTCCGCTTAGCATAGCAGTGTCTCCCGTGCCTCTGTGCGTGGCCCCTCCCACCAGAGCAGCACAAATTAAGACTTGCCTCTTTCCAAACGCTCTTAAAGGATGATTGTTTTGACTGTTGACCGCGACACCCTCATCAGAAAAATGTCAAAAATGAGAAAAGTGGAGCCGAGTGCAGGATTTTCCAAAAAAAAAAAATCACTTATTCCTATTTGCATTCAAGTTAATGTTAAAACATTGTGTTGAAATAGCATTTTTTTTCATAATATTATAATATTTTGTAAAAGAAAGAGTTCATCAATTAAAAAAGATTTCTGTAATAGATTTGCGTTTCTCTGCACAAATATTTTAACTTATTGCTGTTTTTGGGGTTTATATGCCATGAGTTTTCTGATCCGGCCCCTTTAGGATTAAAGTAGGCTGGATACGGCCCCGGACCAAAATGAGTTTGACACCCCTGCTATAGATGATTTCACATCAACCTGCTGAGGGACTGAAGATGGAAATTAGCCACACTGGATATAATTTACATATTTACATTTTAAATATTCAATAATATGAGTGGTCCCTTTATAAATAAATAAATAAATAAATAAGAAGAAATAAACTCAAATTCTCAATTTAGAAGTTATACAGTTTTGGTGATGTGTTGTATTTTTAGAGGACAAATGAATGCAGAAAAATGTGGAACAATAAGTAACTGGAATATTATACAATAAAATACTAACCTGGAAAACGTGTTTCTTGCATAATGCATGATGCTACCAAAGTCGTATACCTCTCCAAGTGAGTCCACCTCCCCTGGCTCCATCTTATAGAAATTATATTCTTGACCTGTAACACAAATATTACTCTGCTGCACCTGCTCCAAAAGGATACCAGTCTAGTACAGCCATACCTGGCTGGATGTTGTCTCTGATGATGCTCACATGCTCATCTCGGTCTGGACGTGTGTGTTCATGCCAAAAGCCCACCACATGACCAAGCTCATGCACCACTATACCAAACTTATCACAATTCTTTCCTATGGAAATGGCCTGAGGGCCTCCTCCTCGCCTCCCCACATATGAGCAACATCTGCAGAGGACAGCACAACTTACTGAATGGCTTATGAGCTCTAAGAACTCTAATTATATTTTATTAGTTTTCTATGTATCTTGTGATATTGAATTATATGAAGTAATCTCTGGATTGGTGTGAATTGATAGGTCAGGATAACTGACTGTATATATATGAGATAAGGACAAGAACATAATTAAATATGTGCCTCTAACTCACCCACAAGGTCTGTAGGTAAACACGATATAGCTTTCTTCAGTTGTCCTCTCAATGAATGTTACACAAGTGTATTTCTCCCAATGACGCATTGCCTGACGGAAAATAGCTCTCTGACTACCTGAAAACAATAAGTAATTATACAAGAGAAATGTCTTTTCTAGACCAGGAGTTTGCATACTTGTGCAGTACAGTGCCGTCTTAATTGACTCCTTACCACTAAAGTTTCCACTGATTACATATGGGATGATGCCATCGGGCCAGATTCGCTCAGGTCTGGAGGTTGCTGCCCTCCTCCTACGATGTGCAGGGAATATGTTTGCTCTCTTGCTCCTGTTACTAGGAACAGTCCCATTTTCTGCAGTTGGAAGACAACATTTATCAGTTATATCTTTATATATCAAATTATCTTAAATGTGTCAATAGAACAGTCCATACTCGAGCTGGTTTGGTTCAATACAGTGTGCTGAAAATCAGCTGTTTTCTGAAAAGCTTTCAACATGCTGATGTCGTCCTCATCCAGAGCAATATCACCCCAAAAAGCAACTGAAAGAGGAGGACACAGTGATTAGTAAAAAACAAAAAAAACAAAAAAACACCTTTAACAACTAAAGTGTATTTAATGTTTCCACACAACTTTTGCTGAAATTCATCTAAAAATGCATTAAATCACAAATAGTAATTTACAAAAATCAGAAAATTCTGAATACAATGCACGATCCCTGTGCACATTTTATGTTTCAAAAGGAGGCCTGAGCAGGGATCTGTGTTTGTTTGATGAGCAAACACAGGCTGTGAATGCAGGTGGTACCACACACGCTCCAGTGTAGTGAAAGGCTTCTGCAGCTGCTGTGCCACTACAGAGAACAGATATGTGCTCAGAATATTTTACAGAACAGTAACTTTGACAGTCCCATATTAGGCCCTGCAGAGAAAGTACTGAAATAATAATTATATATTGGGCCTGCCAATTCTATTACACTGCAGGAGGTTATTGAGAGATATTTTAGAAATCTGTGTATAAAATAACTATAACTGGGGCACCTTAGTCTTGACATTGTATAACTCATTTTAACTCAGTATATAATTTAAACTAGGACTACAGTCATAGTGACAGGAAGAGGTATGACTGAGGTATGATTTTGCATCAACTGTGGGCAATAAGATGGATCCCTCAAACATGCAAATGAAAATTAACCATTTTGTGAGGGCATCTTCCTCCAGGCATTAGAAATAATTGAAGCCAGTTTATATGTATTAAAATGTAATGACCATCTCTATTTATATAAATTGTCTATTCTATTTGTTGCTTATGTTTATAACCTGCAATGGAGCTTTTACAGTGCAATGGTCTGTGCTTTTAAATTGTAACAATGTGATTATTAATTAATTATTAATGAGTAATTCATCTATATCTGAAAACATACATTTTAAAAGATGGACATCTTCATTGCAAAAACAAGAACTTTTTCCCTTAACTGAACTGCGGGTGGTAAACTTTGTGCAGCAACTGATAGCTGGGAGCAAAGACCTTTACAAACAATTGTCTGATAACCGTAAGTCATTCATAACTCAGCCAAAATATTGTGAATGGACTAAAATACACTACACTGAACCTGGCCAGAGTAGTACATTTCTAACTCACAGCATTATTGTTGTTCTCACATAATCATGGCTATACAATCTCACTCAGTAACCCTCATTTAGATACATATGATGTAACATAGTGGGCAGGCCTCAGAGTCACAATGAACGGGCCTTTGAAGTGGACTCACTCATGCAGAGGGTGACTGTAATGACTGTCACCCCTGCCACGACGCCCCATGCCCACAGCACAAGGGCTTTCACCGGCGTCCAGCCTCACTGACCTCAGTCTCCAGGCAACTGCCTCAGAAAGAGCTGTGTGTTTTGACATTTCGGCAGAGAAAAGGGAGCCCAACCAGCTGGAGGTTGCTCAATTACCCAAATAATACATTGGCATGTGTAATGATGCCGAAAGTTGTTTTCTTTAGAGATGCCCCATTAAACCACTAAACAACGTACCATAAATGTGTAGCATAAAAGGTATTGTGCTTATGTTATTGTGGCATAGATAAGCATTAGCCTATCTATTACCTGCTATCTAGATCCACTGAACTCGAGAACCATATGTAATATCAATTAAATGATATGCTAAACTTAAGGCCCTAGATGTCTTCAACGAACGGCGAAATTTACTTTCTGTGGCTCACTGAGTGCAATCATTGAACTTCTTACCATGTCTGTCAGAGACAGCTTAATGAAAAAAGAAAATAATGCCACATTGTTAATAGAAACATGCAACAGCAAATTAGTTAAAATTACAATTTCATAACAGTTCACAGTGGAGGCACATGCCCAAGTGTTAATAGATGTTACCAATTGAGAATATACATTTAGCTAATGAAAATGGCAAGCAGCATTTAAAATGCTTTAAAATAAAATAAAAAGCACGTGGTATGGCATAAAAATAAAGAAATTCTACTGACATGAACGATAATAGATCACGTTACCAGCTTTACAAGGGTCCTTATAGTCGATGGCATCACTGGAGGAGGAGAAATTACTGTCCTCAAACTCCCAATCAGCCGCAGGAGAAGCGTGGACACAGCAGAGCAGGAATAACAGCAGGCGAGCACACGCCATGATCAAAGAGCTGGGGCTCAAATGAGAGAGGAGCAGCGCTGAAGTTGCCCCGGAGCGGCGCTGTGAGGTTCACACACATCAGCTGCTCTCACGACTCCATTGTACTGCAGCAGAACAGCAGTGGGTCCACTGCCAAGAACACGACCCGCGGTACCTGCACGTGGCACAGCTAAACAAGTCAGGCATTTCCTCTCATAATGTTCATTTATCTCTCTTTCATTTACTTTCATATGTTGTACGTTCCAGGTTTAACTTGCACTTTGTGCACGTGCTAGTCTACCTAGTCTGTGAAAGCCTATTAAAGAAATGTGGCACGTGTGTTGTTGTACTGATATCGCCTTAGTGTAGGCCTATGTTCTGCCTATAGGCCTACAAAAACATAATCATTATTATGAATAAATGTATTTATGTTCTAAAACTTTAGACTGTCTAGTGCAATGTATGTGCCGTGGTTACCACTAAGTGGCACTGGTGAACAGGATTAACAGAAAACTAATTGTCAATACAAATTTCCTATAACTATAGTTCCTTTAACATAGCTAAACACGACTAAACCTTATCAAGCATGTAGCCTAAGTGTGTTAAAGTGGCCTATAAAAAAAGTAGTAATATTGTTAATACCACATCTATCTTGTTTTTTTCAGATGATATTGCTGATCATGTGCTGTGAAGAATTGGCAGAGAGAGGGAGCTGGTGTCCCGTCCCACTCCACTTTTCTCTGTCCAAGCAACTGCTCCAGAGGAGATGGGACTGAGATCCAGAAGAGAGCACTTCTCGCTTCAGCATGGTGCTCCCTCTTTTCTGAGGGTGACACCTGTGTGCTCAGAGCTGCAGAGGGATGTTTGTGCACTGGAACAGGCAGGTCCTGCTCCCTGTGCTCGGCCTGCTGACCGTCCTAATGGTTCCTGCTGCTCCACAACAGACCAACAGCCAGAGGGAGGCAGGCTCATCCTGCTACGGCGGATTTGACCTCTACTTTGTTTTGGACAAGTGAGTGAGTCTAATCTAAGTCTAATCAAAGATACAATAGATAATACATTTAGACCAATTTAAGCTAAGGCTAACCCATATTTGTAACAAAAATCTTTGCATTCTTTCTATCTCCTGTCTTCTTTTCCAATTTCTTCCTTTACTCAGCTGAAAAAGAGATGCAAATGAGTGAGCTTTAAGCTTATATTTTCTATACATAATCTTCATACATATTTTTTCTGAGTTTAGTCCATGGTGAGAGCGTTAACATAAGGATTTGGTTACACAGGCATTTAAGCTGTCAAAACTGTTAACACAAAGCTTCTGGACTAGTGGTCATGGAAACTCATTTGTCTCTTTGTTTTGAAGTGCAGTATCACTTTTATTACAAAGTGCTTCTGTTCCATTACCACAGCCCAGTTAGCTTATCTGTGGATTTACATTGTGTTTATTGACATCTATTTGTGTCACAGTGCATTTGTTGATAAAGTCATGTCTTTGCTTGTCAAACACATCCAGGATCGTATTCTGAGTTGCTCACTTTGCAGAAACCCTTTCTCCATTAGAGCCAGATGTTCCAAAGATTCTGTGTGTTTGGCTGGCTGTGCACTCTCACATCACAGCTTAAATGAAAACAGGAGAAGAGGGCTAGCAGCGCAGAGAGAAAAGGAAAACAGTTTATTTAGACTTTGCAACACCACTTGGCCTGGGCCGGACATCAGACCAGTTGGCACCTGTTATGGAGTACGAAGCTGGACAGTATTGTAAAACTTGGGAATGAAGTTCTTACAATAAACATAAGTCGCAATCTACAGTACCTCATTAATGACACAACTGTATGAAGTATTCATTTGTTTATTTATTTATTTTTTTAATTTCTGACAAGAGATCATTATGTGACATTTAGCTGAGTGCATGCATTCTCCTGGGCCACTATTAAATGGTAGTTGTCCTTGAATCCCAGGGCAAATTGGGACCATTAACACAGGATTTAGGATTCTTAAAGAAATGAAATAAGGAAGTCAAGTAAACACTGGAATCTCCAGTCTCTTTATACAGTGGCAGAGCCTGTTGACATGTCCCATCAGACGATGTCTGGACGAACACAGTGTGTGGACTAAACAGATCTCCTCCGTAAGGGTTTCATATTTGTGTTCAGTAGCTTTAGTCTGGGACCTGAATTAGAAAGCAAAGACAAATATTTTATTTTCCTTAAAAGGCTAACTTGGCAAAACACAATTTTAATGCCATGATAATAGTATGCCTCTAATAATACTTTTCTGTTTTGAAAAAAGTGTGACTTTTCTTTAGGTCTGGCAGTGTCCGGGGCTACTGGAATGAAATTTACTATTTTGTTGTCCACTTGGCACACAAATTCACAAGGTAAACCCACATGCACAAATGTGTTTACAAAACATGGACTTATTTTAATGTTGGTCTGTCTGGTCTAGTCCACAGCTGCGGATGTCCTTCATTGTGTTTTCCACCTCAGGGACAACACTTATGCCTTTGACAGAGGACAGGTGATGCAGTGGCTATATACAGTCCCAATGTCAATGTGAAGAATTACATCTCATTGTTTGTCACTGAACAGAGAAGAGATCCGTGTGGGACTGGAGGAGCTGAACCTGGTGGAGCCTGGTGGAGACACATTTTTGAACAAAGGATTGGAGAGAGTAAGTTTTCTGTGAGGTCTAGGAAAAGTCACTCACTTGTCCAAAAAACATTTCAGTGAGCTCTATTTAAATTGAGAGGCACTGACTCTGAAAGTGTTCTTGCAGGCCAGTGAACAGATCTACTATAGGAGTGGCGATGGTGGGTACAATATTTTCCTTTTTAGCAGTTAATCGTTAGCTCATTTTTAATAAATTAATCATTATTGAAAGATATGGCAATGCAATAAATAAGTAAGTAAGAATAATATTAATAAAACTGGTGTTTATATCACAGATGTTCCTGACTTCACTTGAGAAATGCAGTTTTTACTATTTCAGTTTTCCAGGCCTGTTTCTCTGTTGTCTTTTCAGCTCATCGGACAGCGAGTGTGATCATTGCTCTGACAGATGGAGAACTAAGGGAAAATCAGTTTGAAGATGCTCAAAGGGAGGTAATGCTGATACAATAATGTTTTAATGGACCTGCCAATAAAAGTGGACTCCCAGTATAGCAGCTGATCTCTGTAGTAGTGCAAAACCCACTAAGTCTTTTATGTAGGAGCAGCTGTTTTGCTGCAGCTGTCAAAGACATACCAGTGCTGATGACATCAGTGACTGAAAATGCACAAAAACTTTCAAAATTAAAGAAGACAAGGGACCAGCTCTTAAAGTATTTTCTCTTTGTTTGTGCAGGCAGGCAGAGCTCGGCAGCTTGGGGCTACTGTCTACTGTGTGGGAGTTAAAGACTTTAATGAAACACAGGTATCCCATCTTAACTTTAGTAAGACAGTTCATTATGCCTCTAATCTGTAGTCGTACTGTAATCATTCACCCAATATTTTATAGCTATCAACCATTGCTGACAGCAAGGACCACGTGTTTCCTGTTAATGATGGATTTCAAGCACTGCAAGGCGTCATTGACTCAGTAAGACAAACACAAAAAACACCAAATTAATTTCAGATATATGAGGATGTTTTTGTTGACTTACATAGATCCTTAAAAGATCATGTATTGAGATCCTTGCTGTAGAACCGTCAAGCATCTGTGAAGGAGGTAAATAATATGAATTAGTCAGTCAATTGCACACTATTGTTTATTTGTATTGTATTGTTTATATATTATTTTTACACATCTCAGAGTCCTTTCAAGTAGTCGTCAAGGGAAACGGCTTCCTTCACGCAAGAGATGTACAGAAAGTTCTGTGCAGTTTCCGCATTAATGACACAGTCACCCTAAGTGAGTTCACAGCTTTTAGACTTTATCAAAACAAAAAAAAACAAAAAAAAATCTTACCTTTCTTTAGGACAACTGAGTAGCGTTGGCTTGGCCATCTCCATCTTGGCCAGGTCTTTTCACTTTACAATGATTTAAGCTTCTGTCTTTCCTCCCAAACCCTGATGCCTTTGAATGCACTGGTATAGCACTCAGGCTTCTCACATGTTGGAGGGGAATGTGGATCTCTTCAGACACAGACAGACTCATGAGGCCAGGATAAATAAACCACAACTCTCCTGCTTTCGATCCTCTTTCCGTGAGCAAGGAAGCCCAGGAATTTAATAACAATATGAAATATTTTAGCATTTGCATCTCTCTGTTTAGTTTGATGTAAATGTCTTGAGTCAAAACACAATGTAGATCCTTATTTTCCATGTGAATTTTCAGTGGAAAGACCGCTTGAGGTTAGAGACACTTATCTTCTATGCCCTGCTCCTGTTTTGGACAAAGTGGGAATGTAAGTTACACTGACAAACATAGTCTTCATGGCTCCTACATTTTTTTTTTAATTTACTTTTTTCTTGTAGGTCAGCAACTCTCTATGTCAGCATGAACAATGGTCTGAGCTTCATATCGAGCTCTGTCACCATCACCGCAATCACATGTGTAAGTTGTAGTAATAAAATGTATTATCTTATTTAGGAAAGTAAAGGAGTAAAGGAGATTATTCTGTTAATGGATAATTGTGATTACCGTAATCAGGTCCCAGTATAATCACTCAAGTAAAAGAAAATACAATTTTAGAAGCAAAAATAAGCAATTTCAATCAGATCTATTCTATTTTATCTGTCTAGTTATGTTAAATTAACTTTATTGCAAAAGAAAACTGAATTCTGTCAACTGGACAAGAGTTTTAAGAGTGAGTCTGTTTCACCACTCATCCAAGTAGCTTCTTCAATTCTGTCTGGGTTCTCAAAGTTTCTGCCTTGAACATCTGTCTGAAGACAGAAGCTAACTACAGTGAAGCTAACACACCCTAGTTGTTGAAGTGTAGTTAGCAACACTAAAATCGTGACGTGCCCAGTCTTATTAATACACAGCCGTTTTCCAGTCACTTCTGACCACCCCTCCCCCACAAAAAATATACTTTACAACACTAAATTCATAAGCGTCTTACTGTTTCATAATAAGTTTCATGTTTCTTCTTCTTTCTTTGTTTCAGTCTGATGGTACTTTTGTAGCCATAGCATTGCTCATCCTGCTCCTGCTGTTGACAGTTGCTCTGCTCTGGTGGTTCTGGCCTCTCTGCTGCACTGTGGTATGATACAATTCAACTCTACAGACCAAGAAACACTCTAACATTTTCTGAATTATTTTAAATGTAAGAATGTTTTATTACAGGTGATTCATGAGCCACCTCCCCTCGCAGTCATAGATGATTTCTCAGTATGTATATTCTCATTAACACATTAAATTGAGTACTGTTTAGGACAAAAGTTTACTCAACTGTTTACTCAATCCCTGAGGATGATGAGGAAGATTACCCAAAAAAGCGGTGGCCCACAGTGGATGCTTCCTACTATGGAGGGCGGGGAGTTGGAGGAATCAAGAGAATGGAGGTAATATACCACTAAGCTGTATGTAATGTTAAATAACAGACAATGAATGGAAGACAATCTAGTTTAGTGATTGTAAGATACTGGATCCATGAATAGTCATTTCTTTTTAACACATGTGGACCGACAGCAAACTAATTCCAGCCTCCAGATTGAGACTAGCACGCTCAGCAGAAGGCATGTTTGAATTACTGCAAAACTATGGAGAGAGATCAAAGTACAGCACTGTCCAAAGAAAGGGGAAGCGGTCAGCAGTAAAAATATGAGTGTGCAGTTCTGTGGAAGAGACTTGAGTCACAAAGTGTCTGTCAGGAGACTGTTTTCACACTGAAATCTGGTCCAGCCTTTTCACACGTAGTCCCTTTGCTGCCCAGCGCTTTTCAACATTGGACAAATGTGTGCAGAAAATATGCAATGCTTCACTTCCTGTCCTCATTCTCTGCACCAAGTTTAAAGTCTTATGGTTCATTTGTTGAGGCTACTTGCAAGAGAACAAAATGTAATCCAATAGATAATTACCAAATAATTCACATTTAATTATGTCTTAACTTGAATTAAATGAATGAACATAACTTTTTGTAACTTACATACCATCTGACCTTGCAACACTAGAAACACTTGGCAACATGTGCCTCTGTCGTCCTCAGGTACGATGGGGGGATAAGGGCTCCACTGAAGAAGGAGCAAAACTGGAAAAAGCAAAAAATGCTCGAGTGGTGATGCCTGAGCAGGAGTTTGATTACCCTGCACCACGGCCATATTACCACACATACAAGTCAGTGCGCCCACAGAAATGGTACTCTCCCATCAGGGTGAGTGCTCTGCCAGTCATGTATGCTCCTAGCAGCTTTCTACAAAGATGTGTATTCAGATCTAACCAAAAAAATTTGAACAAGCTTTATTTTTTCTATGATGATGATTAAGGCAATCTACACCCACTCGTCATTAAGATGAATAGAAACAGACGTGAAAAGTGCTTGCCTGTAAATATAGCCACTTATGAAAAGCAATTTTAGAATAAACTTTTATAATTTGTGCTTCTTACATTAAAACCTCCTATACTATAATCAAAGACAGACATCTGGAAATATGGGCAGATGCTACCTCATGCAATAAACTTATAAAGTGTTTAATAGTGAGCAAATAAAGCTCTGCCCTACTCTGCCAGTCAGTGCACACAATTTTAAACATTAGGTTGTTATCAAAGATATTTATGAGTATTTTAGTGGTAATGTTTTTTTCTTCCTCTTCAGGGTAAACTTCACGCTCTGTGGGTTGTCTTGAGAAAAGGTTATGACAGAGTGTCAGTGATGAGACCTCATCCTGGAGACAGGGTCAGTCACAATTATTTTTAATCTACAAAATTATATTTACTTTTGATATAAAATGCCAATAATTATGTTGTGTCTCTAGAAGTTGAAAATATTTGATGTGATGAACTGGGACTTGATTAAACCAAATAAACAAATAGGAATGTTTCAAGAAGATAGTATAAAACTGTCTTCATCACAGTGTCTGCAGGAGTCATTAGTCAGTGCTTGGCAGAATGTTGTTTTGTTCTTTGACACCAGTTAAAAGGATTGAGGGAGGAATGTGCTTTTTCCATCTGCTGAAAGTTGTGCATTGAAGGAATGAAGGAACACACACAACTGTTGCGTAACAGTCATACTTAATCTCCTTTTTCTGTCCATTTTTAACAGGGCAAGTGCATTACATTCAAAAGAAGTCCATCATACCCTGCTCCACGCAATCCTATCTACAACCACCCATCCACACCCGTCTACACCCTGCCCCACACGCAGCAGCACAGATGGTCAGACGAGGGTCTGATGCCCCCATCACCCACCACCATCCTACCACCCCTGCCAACTACACCACCACCATGTTCAGTCTCATTTACAGCATATAATACATACAGGACCGCACCAGACAGAGAGCTCCCCCCACCCTCACCCACTGGGTGTGTGCCCCCACCTCCCAATGGACCACCACCCTGTAGAGCCCCCCCTCCCACACGTCCCCCACCTCATCCCAACACGGACATCTGAAAAGTACACTTCTACTGGTCAAGCTGTTCCAAATATGTTGCTTTAAAGTCACAGTGATGATATCATACACATGCTTGGGCTGATCTTTTTAGAAATTAAATTCAAACTTTTACACAAAATTAATAAATTATATTTGAGTTTGTTTTATTTTTTTTCAATTTTCTGTATTTTGAGGAAACAAAATAGTCTAATTCAAGTTTGCCTGCTCTTCATGTATATTTAACTGATTGAGTGAACAAAGTTTTGTGTGTTATTTTTAATGATTTATATTTGTGGTGTTTTGTTTTCTACACACTATTGTACTATTTTATTTTAGCACTAATGATGTGACCCTATGTTTAGCTGAACCTGTGTTGTCATAACTGAACTCAGGAAAAAGTATTTTTAAATAGACATTAAGATGGCTTTAGTTAATACAGTGTGCATTTAAGTACATACATCTAAATGAGATTGTCACTGTACTTTATGGTTTTGGAATTTAGAGGTAAAAGCCTGCTTCACAGTTTTGTATTGTCAAATGTAGAGGTTATGATGAAATAGAGAATAGAGAGAAGAGACTTTGGAGAGGGATCAACATTTAGATCCAACATATGTGGAAAATGTAGCAGCTTTCAAAAGAACAACAAAAAGTCTGGAGTGCTCAGCCCTGATTTCTGAGTTGTCACAGTGAATTAAACAAAGCACACACAACATGAAGGGAGTGAAAAATAAAACAAGCGTAAGCATTCACATATGCTTATTGTCTTAAAACAAAGCTAATTTCTTGGGATGAAGAAGTCAAAGTTTCCTTTCCAATCCAAACACATACAACAAACTCTTCTTAGGTAAGCCGTGATTTTTCATTGCAAAGGATTATGCAAGATAGTCATGCAGAATCCAGTCAGCTGAGTCAACTGGATTCTTTTTCCATTCAGCTCCACCAAAACAAAGACCACAATATCTTTCCCATGTGCCCCAGCGCAGCAGTCGGCAATTCAAGTGCTTTGACAGACCCTCTGCCCATGGCTATGAGCTCACAGAGGCGTGTCCCAAGAGGAGCCAGGCCAGCACAGCCACTGCCATCTCAGGCTGCAGGAAAAGCAATAATCCTCATTTAATTTCAGAAGAAAATAACTTTTATCCAGCACCTTGGCTTCAACAAATAAAATGCACTGTTTTGACATCTTGTGGGATTCAAAACCTAAGAATGTTTTATTGTATAATATTCATACTCTTACCACAAAATAAACTGAGTCTTTAGTCTGGGTTTACAGACTTTTACCTAATACATCAATTGGGACAGACATTATGAAAAGCTGCAGCATTACCTATATAGCAATAGTAAAACACTTAAACATAACACTCTTTTCAAAGGCAGCATGGCATTTAATACTATACAACTTGAAAGCATAATAACAGTAACAGAAAGATAAATACACATCTATAAATTTAAACTGCATAATATACTTATTGAGAGATTAAATAACCACAAAATATGCCACTGGGCAATGAGTAACATGGATTAAAGGGACAAAATTGCTTTTTCATTTATGTAACAGAAAGCCATAAAATCTGGATTGTAAAAAAAAATGTGAAAATGTACTTTAAATCAAAATAATCATACTTATAGTTGTAAAATTGTTAAACACAATACTTTGGCTTTAAGCAAAATCTGTACTAAAATGTCTAAACACAGACAAATTGCTATGAATTTGAGTACATAAAAAGTAGCCATTTAATGGGTATTCTGATGATATTATGATCTTATCATGATTCAGGTTTCTGTTCAGTCCAGATGTCTGCACCAACAAAAACACTTTTCAATGCCCACTCTTCTCCCTTGGTCAGCCTTTGTCATGCCCTGAGTGAGTGACATATGAGTTAACCAACTTACAGAGTAAGTGAACTCCATAAAAACATTATTGCCTAAGCTCTGAAAGGTAATATAAAGAGAGTACACTGTACATCAATAATTTTGTGATATTGGCTCTAAAAACTGATATGAACTTTTTGGCATCTTATCCCTATCCTTTAATTGCACCAATTATTGCACTTCAATGAGTTAGCAAAACAAAATCATGCAGTATTGGGCCCATGTTTCCGGGATCACTAGTACATAGTACTGTATATGCTCCACTGTTTACAGCTTCCATTGTAATACTAATGCAAATAGTAAATAATGTAAAGTGCATTAAAAAGGTTCAGTATGGACATAATGTAACGAGGTAGAGATACTCTATCCAGTATAATGCACTTACATTATACTTTACTTACTTGTGGCCAATACTAACTTTTAAAAATCTCTACAAAAACCTGACTGTATTTTCCCAGTCTGGAAAATGCAAAAAATATATTGTATTGGCAGTTGGTTTCTTAAATTTATGTCAACTGTGGGCTGAATAGTTTTGAGAATAATATCCAATTGAGTTCACATAATACATTTTAACAACCTAGTTTGTTTACTCATCAAAATAACTGGAGCATTTGCAATTTCCATAATGTGGCAACTGAAATTTGAAAACTTGCCTCAGTATTTAAAATGTTTATGTCTTCGACTGAAACATTATAAGAAAATGTGTGAAATCATAGCTCCCCCTGGGGGCACCTGGGGCTGAATGGTGCAGCTGTAAAGGGATCCTCTGTGGGCCGTCCTGCGACTGTCCAGGCATGTAGCGGCCCCACAGCCACAGACCCCACAGCTGCTTGCTGTCCTACCCTGTGCACCACCTTGTGGACCACCACAGGCTGCTGCAGAACAGGGGCCTCTGGGGGCCGCAGGGGGCCTCCCATGTACAGCGGACATTCTGAGTCTGGGGCCGAGCTGTTACCAGTGTTCTGTCTTCTCACAAATGGAGCCTGCAGGAATACATCGGACGGCTCTGAGGCAAAAGAGGAGTTCAGGATGAACCTATTTTTTCTGGCAGGAGTTTTCTTGAAAGGAGCTAACTGAAAAACATCAGTGCCATACTGGGAGAGGGCTGAGACATCTGTGGCAGTGGGAAAGTCCAGACTGGAGGAGGCTGGCAGAGTGTAACAGAGAGCCACCTCAGAGCGAGTTGACTGGTCGGGGTAGACACATGAGGTGGTCCTACGGTGTATTTGTGTCTTCTGACTCTGCACAGGCAACAAGCTGTTCACCTCTGCCTCCAGGTCTGAGAGCAGAACAAGCAAACATTAAATACTATTTTAGAATAATATATTTAAAATAATCCATCACCACATGCAGCACTTGACATGGAAAGGAAAAGAGAAAAAAGCATAAGTGATTTCTTCTTACCTGACATGACAGAACATTTTTATCTTCTATTATGCCTGATTTCACTTAAGACAGAGTCAAAGCTTATGCAAACATGAATGCATATGCAAAATATATATTCACTGCTAATCTATTATGGTGTAATACAACAGAAATAACTTTAAAAAAATATGGTTGTTTTATGCATTATTTGACTAACATTCAAAATGTGCTTCTGTCCAGGGCGCTGTGTGAAATTCATCATACAAATACTTAGTGGCAGGGGAAAGTTATAATTACAAAATAGAATCAAAAAGTTTTGATAAAGTTGTAATGTTTAAATCTCCAAAAACAAAACTCCACACGCTGACGTTCACATTATTATTTTATTTGCCATCCCTTTATAATTCTATAGTCATCTCACAAAAATATAAGAGCACATAATACCACGGCTTGAATGTAGGTTTGGGCCATAAAGACAAAGAGGTGCCTCAAAACACTCATGATATCAGAGAACGGACAGCTTTATTTTTGGCAAAACAACAAGGAAACAACGGGATTTGTTTCACTCTGGGGAATAACTGCTGGGCTTTGCCGATTTCCACAGCACATAAGTGGCTACAGGGACAAGCTCGATAGTTGCATAGGTTCAAAACAGTAACTGCACACAACTAGAACTATTCATAAGAGCGTAGAGGAGGATAGTAAACATACGCTTCTGTTGCACATGCAGCACCAAACAACACGCACCCAAGAGGCAGCTGCTTGCTTTTCTGCAGTGGACAAAAGTTGTAATAACATCTACGGAGATACAAGCACTGTTCAATGATTTCCTTTTTTACATAAATGTCTAACTTTGATTCTGCTGTAGGTTTTTCTCTTTTAAACAAATGTCAGTAACGGCATTGTTTCGTTTTCAAAGGTTGATTAAACAGCATTATAAAGTCATATGATATACTGTATTTGGTGCAATGCAAAAAGTGGTACAGCTGTGATCATGCACGGAAAGCATATATGATCGAACACACTTTGACATTGCAGGTCAGTTTAAACCAAAAGAGTCATTCTGAGTCTTATCTGATCATTCAAACTCTTATGCAACCTCCCACCAACCACCTGCAGACAGTGAGACTGGAGTAGGCCAATGAAACTGTATTTCTCAGAGATAGCAATATTTAGTGACCTGAGACAATTTGGGGGTCTGTGCTTTCATAGTTATTTTAATGACTGTTGCCATATTTGCAGCAGAGTCGACAAAGAAACTTAATAGGCAACGGGAAAATACATCCAACAATGACTCCACACACACACTTATCATTACACTGTATATCACACACACAGAACGGTCAACAACACAGCCATGCTATTTCTGATAGGAACTCTGATCACTAAACAGAAAAGCAAAACAGAGCTGTACAAAGCACACGTCCAGAAAAGATTGGCTTTAGGCATGAAATGAAACTGGATCAAACTCATTCTGGTGAAAACCGTCAACATTTTGGAATAAAACATACTATTCCATCACGGATACACACCAAACATACAATGGACACACTGTCTTTCACAAAGTAAGAGAATACATGGCCATCAGCTTGATCTTTCAAACTCTATCTTCACATTGGATTGTAAAAAAAAAAAAAAAAAAGAACATACATCTTACAAGAGGAATGACATTTTATAGACTATTCAATATTATTCAGTGATTATGATGTTGAGAATCATAGATTTTTTTAATAATATATTTAATATTATTTATTTTATACATTCATTCTCTAACACTCTATTTATATTAACAGGAAAACAATAAATTTAAATATATATATATGATATACATAGAGCATATCATCATATATACTACTTCAAAGATAAAGCAATAGGATTTGTGTGGGTAAAGCTTCATGACAATGATATATTCACAGATAATTTGGCTGGGGAGCAGCCTGTAAGGGTTCAGAATGATATTTACACAAATGAAGTAAACAATGGAAATGTAGGAACATTGCACAAAGTGGAATGGATAATAGTGATATTTACCATAAATGCTTCTGTTTTTTCTTAGTGCCAAAAGTAGTTTATGATAAACAACTATAATATTTTCTCTACAGTCCTATCTATATAGTTGTAACCATGCGACAGAATTCTGTTGGAATGGCACGCTAATCTATGGCTTACCATAAACAGGCATGTCAATAGGAAGAGGGAGGAGTGCAAGCAGAATCTAATGCTGCCCCACGTCTGGGCCCTCTTCTAACAGTTTGTCTTACATGGGTGCCAATGTGAGTCTTATTGTCTGGCCCCCACAAGTGTCAGCAGGCATCGTCACCACATACATAGATTAACAAGTATAGCTTCTCCAGATTATGTATGGCACTTATATTAGCAACTCTACACCAGAAGATTCTCCATATAGTTATAACTGCGTCCATGTTTGAGCAGTAGAGGCAGCAGTTTGAGGTAATGGCCGCTCACTACTTCTCTGACACAGAAGACATTTACGCTACTGTGCAAATCGGGCTACAAGATGCTCCTTTTTATTTTAGTCATCATTGGAATAAATTTTTACTTTAATTGTGTGCAAATAAATCCGTGCTGGAAAGGTTCAAAAGGCAAAAAAGTTAAACATTACATGTGCACAATTATACCTACAACCACATAAAATATGCCTATTTTACATTATACCACTCATCTATTGTCTGTTTACACCTAATGAAAACTGGATGGCATAATTATATTCCGAATGAATGAGAAAATGTAATTATTTACACTTGAAGGGAAATGAGATGTGTCATTTTAAAGAAAGGACATTTCAAAATGACAGATGAGCAGGAGCGAGAATAGCCAAATACTGAATGATTCTACAGTGGGAACTATCATAGTGGGGCAGACAGCAGGAGGGTGGACAAAGATAGCTATGAGAATGGTTGCTAGGTTCTAATCCAGAGTTACATCTACAAGGGCCGTCTACAGGTCGATGAGCTGGTCCACCAGCAGTAGGGAGCGGGCCAAGCTGGGCAGGCTGGACTCAGAGCCACCACTGTTACTGCGCGAGTGGCCTCCCGAAACTGGCTCACAAGAAAAGGGAGGGCCAGGTCAGAGACGGAGGAGGAGCAGGAGCAAGAAGCACAGAAAGCAGTCAGAACAGGGCCATAGGGGAAAGAAGAGAGGAAACAATTCACCCATTATCTACAGCATAGAACAGTGACAGATCTAATATCTAACCAGTCAAACTGAAGTTAGTGTAGTTACATACTGTTACAGAAATTACCTTGCGAATTCTTTCGACCAGTGACAGGGATAGGATCAAACTCATCCTCTTCACCTGCATCTGCAGATGTCGGGGGAGGCTCAAAGTCAGAAATGAGGAGGTCAGAATCTGTTGAGCATGTGAAAGACAAGTTTTAATAACACTTCAGTGACGGCATAAAGTCAGACAATGACAGTGTTTCTGGGTACAACTTGGTTCAATCTCTCCAAATTGAAAACATAATTTATATGATGTAATGTTAACAAATCCAAACCTGAAAGTATTTTATATTTTATACACAAAAGAACAACTTCAAGTGTTAGAACGCCAGCTTGGGTCTGTACTTTGTGAGTGCATGTTGTGTATGTTGTGCTGTTGCTGGCTCTCTCCCCCTCCCTTCCAGATTCCAGAGAATGGAACCTCCGGACTGCACCTGATAATGGGCATGGCCCACCACCTTGTACCCTTTTTAAACATGTGTGGACATCTCGTCTGATCCCAGAATCAGTTTGTAACATATATAATACATCAGTGAAAGTAAAGACCGTTTACGCTGAACACCATTAGTTGCAAGGATCTAGATCATTGCCCTCTAGAGGTACACAAGTAAACGTCTAAGGGAAGTAAATAAAACACACACCTGTTTTAGGCTGTGCAGAGTCACCTGACAGCAGACTGAAGTCATCCATAGCAGAGGCAGCTGAGGTTGGAGCGGAGGACACTGAGGATGTTGCACTGCTGCCAGCAGGGGGCACTGAAGGGCACGAGATCAGTCCCAAGAGAGAGTCCTCAGAAGTGAGTGGGTCTGAGGAAAACAGCAACTTTGACCACAAAAGTATCTTAACACAGCAAAAATAACAGTTGAACAAACCTTTGGCAGACTCCTCCACAGCCCCCCCAAAAGGATCAGACAATGACAGCAGATCAGGAAGCATAAGTGAAGATGTGTCTGGAGACTTCAAGCCTTCAATTAGCTTTTCTGAAGAAGAGGAGAAATATTAAAACAAAACATACAGGTAAACCTCATTTTACACATTTGCCATCATTATATATAGTGCCAGCCTGATTTAACTAAAACGATGTGCATGAATTTGGGCAGGGCATTATTTATTAATAATTGTAAAACAACCATTAATATTGATATATTAATATTACTGGAAGCCAGAGGGCTTTATGAGAATAAAGAAATGATTGATTGATTATATACAAATGGCATCTTGTTTCATACAAACATGTACTGTACTCAGTAGCTAAAGAGACAGACAATGCATAGGTTTTTACCTGATGTGTCTGTAAGGTCCAGAGTCCGGAAAGGATCAGGAACCGCCAATAGAGAGGCTCCTGTATCCACATCCACAATGTCTGAAGGTGTCTCAACTGAATCACAGCAAATGAGAAAGGGAAATCAGAACATGTATGTAGCCTTTTGGCTTTAAATAAACATCATTCTAAATTTGATTAGATTTGCAGCACAGAAATCAATAAATACTTTCAATTCACCAACACTAAATGCTTACTGCTAATGCTTCTTACTTGATATATTTTTATTTGAAAAAGAAAACACGCTCATGTTACTTTAACAATTTCACTTAAAACAATGAGCATATTCATAGCAATTTAATGGTATAATACTTCCTGAGCATTAAACTAGAGAGTCATTATTAAACTTTTAATATGCTTTTAAATAAAAGCAACCTACAGAAAGAGTACTTGTATGATTGTTGTTGCTGGGCAAAATGATGTTTATGTCATCGTCATGTTGTCCTTGGATAATTTGGCATAGCAACAACTTTTGTCTTTTAATGAATGGCTCAGGCACAATGAAACATAACAAACCATTAGGAGTACTTTCAGCAACTGAAGTATGCAATCCTGGTATCAATTCCTCAGATTTCGTCTCAGTTTCTGAATAGAAAATAAAAATGCAAATGCATTAACATATTTTCAAACCCACAAACAGAAATGTATCTAGCTGACCTTACCCTCTGCAAGTTTCTTGTCATTAGTACTCGGTTCACTGGAGATGTTAGAGAAGTTGTCATTATCAAATGGGTTCCACGTGGGTTGAGCAGAAATATCTGCAATACTCCTACAGAAGGAAATCAAAACACTATTTCTGTGCTTTTGTTGTGACCAGCATGGATTTACTTAGAAAAGCAAACTTCATCATTCTACTTACAGACTAGCAGCAGCATCCACGCTAGTTCCTACAACCTGTTGTGAGTCATTTGGAGAGGTTCCAACACTGCCTACTGTGGTGTCACTAGGGGTGCGTTGGTGGCCTTGATCATCAGTAGTTTTTGGAGACGCAGGTGGGGTCTGACAAGAGGAAGATCAAAACTTAGTAATTATATAAAGCATTTAGTCAAATAGTTAAAAGCAGTCTGATCAACATGTTCATGATTAAATTCAGAATGCAGGGTCCCTTACGATCTCTGCCAATTTTGGGCTGATGTCAGTCGGTGGACATGGAGCAACTTTGCTTGGTGAGCTCACACTGCCTTGCTTGCGCCGTGCTGGGCGTTGAGGTGGCGCAGGGCTGGGAGGACTGGCTTGTTGAGAGGCCACACTGATCACGGAGGGAGTTGTGTTGGGCTGCTGAGGTGAAGCCTGAACCTGAGCTTGTGGAGGGGACTCAGTCTTAGTGACGTTCTCTGGTGCTGCAGAGGTTTCTGCTGATGAAGCTGAAGTGGCCTGAACTGTCTATTTAACATAAATACACATCATAATAATTACACTTTTAGTTATTATATAAATAATTAATTTTAAAATACTCTTTGATCCTCACCAGTAGATGTGTGCAATAACCTTTCATATACTTAGCAATCACCATAACTGTGTAATTAATAGTATGTTTCTTCTATACAGTGTTCTGGTAATTTTTCTATACCTATGTGTGTATGTACACATTTATTTTGCATACATCTACACATATATACCCAAAGCATGCTACATAGGTCTCCAGGAAGAACAGTTGTTAGCCAAGGTCAGTTAAATACAATCAATCAATGAACCTGCCCAGGGACTACAGGTGGAAATTAGCACTGGTGCTACAACCTGGTACAATGCATCACTCCTGTTAAGGTTATTGTACAAATTGTGCGCTGTCCCTGTCTCATTAAATATAAAATAAATAAAGACACATATACATACAAAACAAATGTACAGTTAGCGGTTAATGTAATATGTAATTTATACATCTTGTATGGGATGCACGTAAGTATTAGTTATATGTTCATTTTACCTTGTATATGAAAATAATAAAAAAAATAAAGTAAAATACAGCACATATGTTAATAAAGTGAAAGAGAGTACACATATTTAGGAATATGCAAATTTTATATAAAAGGCTGAAAAGTACATAAGAGTAGGCACCTGCTTCTGCTGAGCTGGGGCCACACCAGCATTGTTCAAAGTGGAAGTCTGTGCCTTCTGTGACTGTAGAGCTGCAGCCGGCTGAGACAGGTCTAAACTCACTCCTGTGGGATCAACAGAAACACAAGACAGCAATGTGTCATTCTCAAGACCAATCTATAGGCATTTACAAGAATTTTACATTTATATACTTATACAAACAACTAAAGACTCACAACTAAATTGCTTTAGTAAATAAGGATGGCATATTTAATTTGTATATTTATTTAATCTTAGTCAGTCCATATAATTGCAGCAGATGAAAAGGTACTATACAACTTACCCACTGACTGAGCTGTTCCACCAGGGATGTTGGCTCTCTTGCGAGGTGTCAGAGCAGCTGGCTGGATAGGTAGCATGCCAGTGCCCGGTTGGGTATGAATGGCTTTGGGTCTTTGTCGTGGGGTGATGGAGGTTTCAGTGGTAGGAATGGGATCGGTAAGTCTGGTGAAAAAACAAGGATGTTAGATTATTTTATAAACAGGCAGTGTACCTAAAGACTTTCACAAACCCTCATGTTTCAATAACAGTTTTAATTGTGATGCAGTATACGATGGTCATGCTTGCCTGGGCTTATTCTGGCTCTTCTTTGCTGCAGCAGCTTCACTTGCTTTGACTGGCTCAGGAAGTTTAGAGGGAAGCGGGGAATTCTGGAACAAGATGAAAGCGGAGACAGTGTTACATCACAAATGCAACTCAATTTGTAATAACGTGGAAACCAATTAGATACGAATGACAGAGTAATAAGACTAACATCTCAGTAAATTTGTACAAGAATGTTTAGGAGTTTTCAATTTAGACAACTTTATGTTTCAATCTTTGAAAGGTAAAGCATTCACCTTTGAGTTTTGTACAGGACATGTCCTCTGGGCAAGTTTAAAAGCAAAGTGTGACACCTGATAGATATCTGGTCTATTGTCTGGATCCGGTTCTAGCATGTACCCTTCACAAAACAGAAAAAATGTAATCAGCATTAAAATATGTATTAAACATCTCCTTTCTATGCAATTTTTTTACAGAACTAACTAATAAGGCAATGTAGGTCATAAGAGTAGCGGGAGTTATCTGGTATGGTGAAACTGCCATCACATATGGCCACCTGGCTTTCACCAAAGGGCAGAGTAAAGAAGCACAGCTTGTAGAGCAAACATCCCAGAGCCTGGAGTAGACATCACCGGAAATAACCACCAAGAAAAAAGACAGGAGAACAAGGAAAAAGAGGAAATTATAATCAAAACATTGACAAAGAATAAATACACATTTCCCCCAAACTGATTAAATTAGTCAGCTGAACAGCAGCATAATGATCTAATTTGTGTATATATGAACAGGTCACTCATACATGTAACAATGTTCATCGAGTGATTTCAGTGTTTCCTCACCCAGATATCGGCTTTTGTAGTGATAATCTTATTATTGTACAAATTCACCATTTCAGGAGCTCGATATGATAAAGTTGTATACCTGTAGAAAAATGTATGTTAGTTGAATAGTTAAACTGTTCAAATCAATCATTAATGACTGCATTAGATAATAGTGTACAAACTTTTTAATTTCTTCCTCAACTGCAGCCACTCCTTCAGTTTGTGGACTCTGGAACTTGTTGGTAGCGCTGCCAAAGTCACATAACACATAGTGACCCTTGTCATGTAAGAGGATGTTTTCCACCTATGATAACATAAAAAAAAAGATTAATCAGAAGTACAAACATGTCTCTCCTGCTTCAAAGAGCAAAGATCACCATAGTACAATGAATGCTGTTACTTGTAGTATAATATTTGTTACAACAGACATAAAAGGTTACCTTTAGATCTCTGTGGATGATCGGAGTCTTGCGCTGATGCAGGCAAGAAACAGCTTCACAAGTATCGCAAAAGATCTGCAGAACCTCAGACTCAGAGAAGCCAGTCTGCAGCCTTTGATTCATCAGATTTACCACTTGACCTCCTGCCAAATAAAGTTTAACACACTGTCAGTAATGCTGGTCATTTTAAATATCCATCAGATATTTTCAATTGCCAAATGGCTATCAGCATATGTTGGAGTGCACACACTGAGACACACAAGAAGGTTTAAGTAGATTTAAAGTTCATATATTTGTACATAAAAGAACCTTAGCACCTACCTTTGCAGAAATCCATTAATATAAAGACTTCCCACACATCTCTTGAACCCATCGCAGTGATACTAGAGTCCAGATAACCAACAATATTCTTGTGGCCAACTAGGTCTTTCTACAAATACACAAAACAAAAGTTAGAAGTTCATGTTACAAAAATCAATTGTCACTCACAAACACTCACATATAAATGGCAAAAAAATTCTAAGAGACAAAATAATAATAAAAGAATCTCACCATGATTTGAATTTCCCGTTTGCACACCTGCAAATCATGCTCATTGTTGACATACATTCTCTTCAGGGCACATCGAACCCCTTGATTTGTTCGTACAAGAAATACAATTGCAAAACCACCTGCAAAGGAAGCAAACAGGAGTGTAAATATGCAGACATGTGCTTCTTTGTCTTCAAAGCACATGTCTGCATTTTTACACCCATAAAAAAAGCTCAATTGTGTCTATTGTTTTCCATCAGTGACACTGATAGCACATGCAGTAGCTTATTGAGTTATGCATTAGTCATGTCACTGCTGCAGGCTTACATAGAGGCCTACATTGAGACCTAACCATCTGGTATAGCTCAAACCTCAAATTTAGTTTAGTCAAGAGTCTCAGTCATCCATTTCCTAGATGCACGATAGTAGTTTATCACACAGAACTTTATAAAAGCCTGGTGGTTAATCTAATTATCTTAAAAGATTACTAAAAACTTGGAACACATTGATTGTAATAATAATATACAAAGCAAGCAGTTAAGGAGTGGAGAGAGTACACACTAAACACTGATTTTAGACCAGTTTATCACTGCTGTGAAGATGGTTTAGAATTACATTCCTGTATTACTGTATGACCCTTGGTTTTGGGCTCAGCTGCAAAAGATGCAAACATCCTTTCTCACCTTTCAGAGGCAAAAAAGAAATCGACACAATACATCCTCAGGCTTACAGAAGACATATTTACCTTCAGCAATGATCTCTTCCACGGTGACCTGGTGCCGCCCCACGGTGAAGCCTCGCCCAATAAAGTTGCTCCCTGCCAGGCTGGACCCAGAGCTTCCCCCCCCTCCTCCAGAACCAGGGCCAGAGCTCACCAATTCTCGACGAGAATCAAAAAACTTCCTCATGCTTGTCAGTTAACAAGGACAATGTTTTTGCTTCAGTCACTCCAAGATGAATGGATCAATCAGCTATTTTACAGTGAGATTCGCAATATTTTTGGACGGGAGGCTTTAGATGCTCTGGTGTCTCGGTCTATTTTATTGACGTGGATACGGTCCGGATTTTCGTGGCGTTTCTCCCATTTGCCAACACAGTGCAGTAGAGCAGCTAGCTGTTATGTAAGTGAATTACACCACCTAGAAGGCTAAAGCATCTCCGGAGAAACTGTCTCCCTATCTAGCTATCCATCCAGCTGTTCAAGGACGGCTACTAAACGATGTCAGCGTTAGGTCCATTTCCATCTCATCCAGATAAGATCCAGCTAGCTAAGTGCTAGCTACTTAGAAGCTATGACATTTCGTGTAAGGTTACCCAGGTTATCCTCTGAAGATGTCTTCGACTGCGATGTTCCCGTCGTTTAACTCGAGAATCGACACTCTGTGACAGAATGTTTCCATTATCAGTTAAATGAAGCAGTTGTCCAGTGCCACATAGCTGGAAATACAGCTATTTAATTGTTCAGATTTACAATAAAACAATGATTTCTCTTAGCTAACGCTTAGCTCGTGTCTGCCTTTCATCTACAAAACTAAACGCACAGTCCTCAGGAAAACCTTTATATTCCGCGTTTGAGAAATCTACACCCAAAAATGTACGTCCGGAAAATTTCACATCCAAAATTATTAGATTGAGGTTTCAACCCAGCTAATCTCTGCAACCACAGCAATCTTTGGCTGCCAGCGATATCGCAACATCCGAGCGGTAGCTGTTGACGCGCGAAAGGACTTATGGGTATTGTAGTTTGACCACCAATATGTTGTATTCATGGTCGTCGTTTTGGGAAGGGTACCGATGTAGCTTTTTGTATCAGGCCTGTTATTAAAACTTTTATACATTTTATGATTGTATAAATATACATAAAAACATAAAATGGATGATATATAATACATTATTGTTAGTTTATGTGTTATATGCTATTGCTATACTTCGATATCCAATAAAACAATTTTACAAACGGAGTCATAATTTTTATTAACAATTGTATATACAAGTACGACTGCATGAACATGAACATGAACATAGGCTACATTTATTCTAATGACTAAATGCAGTAGGCTTGTATTTTTATCAAATCCTGCCTGTGCAATAAGTTTTAAATTATCTAGCCTGTTTAGTTCTTGAATGCATCAGTGGGTTGTCTCCACGCTCGCTGTAAAGAGGTGGACCTTGAGATAATTTGGCATCCTGGGGGAGGGACCTACCCTATGAATGTAACTGGTTTTATAAACTAAAGTTTAACAGTTTCAGTACTCTTACGCCTGCTCGCTTGCTCTTTTTACACCCGTCTTCTTTCGAACAGGTAAGGCATTGACGGAGTTTAAATATTATATGAAGTGTGTGCTCCGCTTTAGCGCAAAACACCGTTATGGCCTGACTGGGTGTTGGGTGTGCCCTTCTTGCGTTCAAGTTTGTTGTAGCGATCTCACAACTCTGCTTCCTCAATCCCCTGTTGCTGACTGTTAGACAGTTTTTGAAGAAAACAAACGCTGTCTCTCTATCTCAAACTCTCTAACCCAGTCTCTAACAGCATTAGATAGGTCGGTGCTATTTTGTTGAATAGGTAATGCGTAAAAAACTCATTTGTAAAAGTTTCCACACTTCTAATTATAATCAAAATACAGTCAGACGCAGTGAGGGTATTTCTGCTGTTTTCTGTCCTTCTGGGCCTATTTTGTTCTTGTAATTTTATCCTAAAAATGTAACTTTAGGCGATGCTTGATGAATATCAGTGGTCCAATATAGACACTACAAACAGTCTGTTGCAGGAAAAGATTCAGGTTGCGGCCTCTTATTTACATGACAATCCACTCAGGTGTGTCTGCTGACAGTATCCATGTGGATTTTCCAAAGGTCAGTCCATCCATTCATGAGGAGTAGAATGGTTTGTGTAATACATTTACGGAAGAATCTGACAATAAAACTTTACATATAATAAAACATACTTACATGGCCAAGTGGTGGGTCCAGACCAAATTGACTGACTAAGGGTGCATTTGAGTTCCAAAGGGGTGTAAATCTTATACTGTTCCATTAAGTATCATTATTTATCCCACCAGTGAGGGTGTAAACCTTTTATAAATGAGGTTTTAGTGCACCCTTTTGCATGCCTGTAGACCCGGGCATGCTATCAAGTTCTACATTAACCTAACTGAAGATTTTAAAGGATGGTACACCCCATTGCATAGGTCACAATTTGCATATAGACTACAGAAATTATGCAAATGACTATAGAATGGGTAAGGTGATCTGTGATAGCTCCAGTGAAAACCTACAGTCCTTCTCAGAGTAATTACAGGTGTGTCCACAAACAATAGCCTAATGAAATTACTTCTAGGGACTGAGCAGATGTGAGACCACGTAAGCAAGCCATTTGGGAAATTTGAGTGATGGAAAACCTCTTCTTAGCTGATGAAGTGCATACAATATTGATCAGGTTAACTAGACTAGTTTTGTGTGTAATGCATCATTGTTAATCCTGTTTATTTTCTTTTAGTTCTTATCCTTGCCTTTGGGAATCCATTCATCCTACAATGGCAGCAGTAAGTTTCAACTGTGTTTTATTATACTTCTCTCACTACTGAATCAAATCTGCATACATTTCAGTTAATTACATCTTTACAAACTTCCTGTTGTTAAATTGTCTGTTTTTGTTTTTTTATCAGATTGGTAAGCGTGGAACAGTCACTGAAGCGTCTGGATTCAACCCAGAGCAAGATGTCCAGAAACTTCGAGAGGCCATGAAAGGAACTGGTAAGACACAACATCCACATGTTTACACACGTTTACTAGGGTCATGTATTTACTTTGTATCAATACATATTTAAGATTTTTTTTTTTTTTTTAACAATCATTAATATTACAATTATTATCTAACATTAAACCTGGTAAACCTATTTAAAATCACTGACACATTAGGAGCATGGACATTTTCAACATTTTAGAGTCTGGTATGTTAATTTTGTTAGGCTTATTCTATTGTGGTTGCTATGCAATTGAGTTGCCTTTAAGACTGCTATCTGTGCATTACCACATACTTACGCACATGCACATGACGCATCTGTCAGTATGATGCATTCAGTGACTGTCTGTATATGTGCTTGTATGATTGTGTTAAAATGTTTGGTTTTCCAGGCACTAATGAGGCCGCTATTATTGAAGTCCTGGCTCACCGCACAATTGCCCAAAGACAGCGCATCAAGGAGGCTTACAAGCAATCTATTGGAAAGGTATACAGTCAGTCTACTCACTCTAAAAAGAGATTTGTGCATTTCATTCTTTTCATCTCATGTTTTTATTTGAGTAAATCTGTGCATTTTAAAGACATCATTGTAAAATTGATTTTGAGAGCACTTTTTTACAAGTTAAACGTTAACTAAAAGAGTGATAATAACCAGAAGAGAGACCACATTTCTCAATAGGGCTTTGTTACCCTCTTTGCAAGTCCTCTTTGCATACGGACCCAGGCTGTCACACTTCTGCATTCTATAGTTATTTAATCAATATATTAACTTGTAAAGCAAATTTGTTGTGCGTCTCCCCTAAGAACACTTGGACTTTTCCATTTATTGTTATTTATCTGTATGCTTGGGAGAGAGAAACACGATTTTGATTCTACATATGTCGTATGAAGTGAAATAAACTTTTTTTTTTTTTATTTGAAATGAGAGTTGTAAAAGCAAACAAGACTATTCAAGTGTCCATTGATTGTTCACAAAAAAAGAAGCAGAAGGAGAACAAGAAGAAGTGGAATTTGCGGGTGCAGAAAAAGTGAGTCATGCTGCACATATAAACGCCCTTATGTGGGCTCCACTGTTAGAAACCACACCCTCTAGTGGAGACAGCAAGTGGGATATGTTCTGTCCACGCTGGCAAGACAGACTTGATAGAAAAGTTGCATCATGTATAAGGTTTCTGTAACACAGAAAAGCCTGGATGAAGTGAGTGAAGAAGGCATGTCTGAAAAGCATTCCCATTTTGTAGTTATGTTGTTATTTGTGTTGTTGCAGGAACTGGCTGACGATCTGTCCTCAGAGCTGAGTGGAAACTTTAGGAGTGTGGTCCTGGGTCTACTGATGTTGGCTCCCGTGTATGATGCCTATGAACTGAAACAAGCAATGAAGGTGAAATTTAACAACAACAAAACAACAAATGAATAAAGAAGGGCATTCACAAGACTTGCATCAGTAGCCGCTTGTATTTGCATCCCATCATCCTTTTGCATCTTCCTTGAAAATGCAAAGAAAAAAACTGTCGTTCAGAATAGCCCCAACTTATTAAAAGGCCTAGATTCAACTTTTGTATTCCTTCGAGTGAATGTTCAATCATGGTAGACAAACATCACAAATAGTGTTGCAGTTCTTAGTTGGAATAGATGGAATTGATGTCACATACAAATTCATTGGTGGTGCTTGTCTCACTGGGTCATTGCCTTTTTAAGTTGTGAACAATTTACAATATCAGGGGAACAGTAAACAATTTGTGAGTCAAAGGGGGACAGGGATGTCGTGGGATGAGTTAACACATCATTATTTTTGCCCACAGGGTGCAGGAACGGAAGAGGCCTGTCTTATTGATATACTCGCTTCAAGGTCAAATGAGGAAATAAGAACCATCAATGCCTTCTACAAGAAAGGTATAGTTTCTGTGTGTATTGATGGGGCATTGTGCTGCACTTACATTATTGTTATTTGATAGCAATACAAGCCATTCTTCATTATTTAGGCACACTGTCATGACCATTATTAGGTCAAATGAAGGGGATAAATATTTGATGAAAAGTATTGTAGCCTAATTGTGGCTTTGGTTTGTCCTTTTTTGGTCCCATAGTTACACTGGCAATTTTTTTTCAAATGCTTTTTATTCAGTAATTTGGTGACCTATTAACTTACAGTATTTTATTTTTTATCAGAATATGGAAAAACTCTGGAGGATGATGTGTGTGGTGACACATCTGGAATGTTTCAGCGAGTTCTTGTCTCTCTGCTGACGGTGAGTTAAAATACAAGAATTCTGAGCTACAACACACAAGTGAATATCAAAAAATATAAAATCACTCCCTCCAGGCTGGACGGGATGAGGGCAACAAAGTGGATGAGGCCCTGGCTGTGCAAGATGCAAAAGTAAGTTTTTAAAATTAAACCAAAAATAAATTATACTTTTCTTTTCTAAGTGTATGCATTTGATAGGAAATTTTTGAGGCTGGTGAGGCGCGATGGGGTACGGATGAGGTCAAATTCCTCACTGTGCTGTGTGTGAGGAACAGGGACCATTTGCTAAGAGGTTTGTCTGCAAATGCATTTTATTACTTTTTGACTGTAACCTTTTGCATCTCCCGATTGCTTTGTGTAGAGATGTACATTGTTTCCTCAACAAGGGTCTTAAAAACAGAACACAACATCTTGGATAACATTTGATGGGCTTAAACCACATATGATGTGTTCTTTAGTATATTGCGTGCCTTATGTTAATGTGTTGCAGTGTTTGATGAATACAAGAAGATTTCTGGACGGGAGATTGAGGAGAGCATAAAGAGAGAGATGTCTGGTTGCCTAGAAGATGTTTTTCTCGCAATTGGTCTGTGTTCTATTTTCTCTGTAAATGATGTAATTTACTATTTTAAATGTATTTAGGGCAGCTGTATAACACAACAATTGAGAGCATTTAAAATGTATTGATGAATTCAAAATATACAATAGCGTGGGCTTGCCA